TCAGCAGACACGCACAGGGCATTTAAGGAAAAGCAAAAGGCAGCTGACCCTGAATCTGAAAGTCCACGAGGCCACGTGGGAAGGTAAATCTGCTGTCTTCATTAAATGGCTTCGACGTCCTTGGACATGGAACGGACTCTTCGACTCTCACAACTTAATTGAGGAAATGACAACTTACCCACAAACAACCGGAGAGCAAAACAAGGCAGTAAAATCAGTCAGCCCGGGGCAGACTGTGTGGTCTGCCTGCGCCAGCCCCGGGACTGTGCAGGGGGAATAGAGAGGGCAGCCTGAACGCACAGCCGGACACCCGGCTGTTCGCTGCGGGAGGCTGCGCCTGCGCCAGGCACAGGCCCTGCGTGGGTCAGGAGTCACGGCCTGCTGTGCCCGCCCTCCACTCCCTCACTTTCTTTCCACCTTTTCTAGCACGATCAACGTTTACTCAGGACCAACCCTGCAAGGGACTAGGGGCTGGAGCAAAACAGCAACATTTTCCCTGGGGAGTTAGATATTAAAATAGGTAAGACAGAAATAGCTAAACATCAAGTAAGTAATATTGATTTCGCAACCAAAGGACGGCGAGAAGGTGGAGGGCTGCAAAGGTTGGCTGGGGAAGGTGTCTTGGATTACATGATACTTGGCCAAGCCTTGAAGGAAAATTAAGATTCAGAGACTTGAGTGTTACAAAGGGTTATCAGAGCACTGGGCTGGCTCAGTGGACTGAGCACCGGTCTGTGAACCAAAGGGTCGCTTGCTGGTTTGATTCCCAGTCAGGGCACCTGCCTGGGTTGCAGGCCAGGTCCCCAGTTGGGGGTGCAAGAGAGGCAACCACACACTGTTGTTTCTCTCCCTCTCTTTCTCCCTTCCTTTCTCTAAAAACAAATAAATAAAATCTTTTAAAAATAAAATCATATAGTTTCAAGTGTGCAATTTAAAAAAAGTTTTTGGAGACATGAAGTGTGAATCGAGACAAGGTTTGCACAATTTGAATATATCAACACTACTCAACCGCACACTTAAAATGGTGAGGATGGTAAATTTTATGTGTATGCTATCACAGTAATTTGTTTTAATCCTTACCCGAGGACATGTTTTTACTGATTTTAGAGAGAGAGGAAGGGGGAGAAAAAGAGAGAGAGAGAAACATCAATCAGTTGCTTCCTGTACTCACCCTGACCGGGGATCGAACCCACAACCTAGGGATGTCCCCTGATCGGGGATCGAACCCACAACATTTTCGTATACAGGATGGCGCTCCACTCAACTGAGCCACCTGGCCAGGGCCACACTTGGTTTTTTTAATTTTTTAAAAAAGATTTTATTTATCTATAGAGAGGGGAAGGGAGGGAGAAAGAGAAGGAAAGATCACGTGTGAGAGAAACATCAATCAGTTGCCTTTCACATGCCCCCAACTGGGGACCTGGCCCTCAACCCAGGCATGTGCCCTGACCGGGAACCAAACCGGCGAACCCCTGGTTTGCAGGCTGGCACTCAATCCACTTAGCCACATCAGTCAGGGCTATCTTTTTATTTTTATTTTTTTTAAACAGGTGCTTCCTAAGCAGAAAAAAAACTTTTTTAAAAGAAGGTATGGCCCTGGCTGGCGTAGCTCAGTGGATTGAGCGTGGGCTGCGGACCAAAATGTCGCAGGTTTGATTCCCAGTCAGGGTACATGCCTGGGTTGCAGGCCATGGCCGCCAGCAACCGCACATTGATGTTTCTCTCTCTCTTTCCCCTTCCCTTCCCTCTCTAAAAATAAATAAATAAAATCTTTAAAAAAAAAAAAGAAGAAGGTAGGAATGCACACTGCCATTGGTAGCGAGTCATGAGCTGAAAAGTCTGATTCCATGGAGGGCTCGTGTACAGGCCACGGGCGATTCAGGAAAGTGGGTTGGCGCTGGACTGAAAAACCTCACCGCAGGTGGCACCTGACCCCCTTGCCAAGGCTTCCAGCTTCATGGTCCACAGACGGGCTTCAAGTTTTGGCCGTGAACACCCTGTGATAAATTTCAAATGCCTGTTCACACGTGTATTTGATCTGGAGAGACAGTGAATGGCTTTCGGATTCTCAAAAGGGTTTGTGACTTAGAAAACTCGGAAACCGCTCGCGCAGGCCACTGGCAGAGGGGTCTGTGGGACGGGACGTGGTTGAGCTTTTCAAAGCTGAGCCCGTCTCCCCTGGGACTCGCTGTTAATGGAACACCAGACAGCATTCGGCAGATGGACGCCACACCTGCCCTCAGTGGTTTCTTCCTCGCTAAGTGTCTAACAGAGCTGCTGGCAATTTACGAGAGCTCGCCAGGGGGACGCCGCTGGTAGGAAGGAAACTAGCAGACAAGAGAAGCCAGTAAAAGGAACAGGCGGTGAGAAGATGCAATAAATTCAAGTGCCACAGAAGCCAAAGAAAGTCCCAGGGGAGACGAAGCCGTTACCAGTGTCAAGTACAAGAGACGGATTAAGGAAGATAAGGCACTGTCAAAAAGAGGTCCAAATTCTATGACCTACAGATGCACGGATTCTGTCAGGTGATGAAATAAGAAGTCAGAGCTTAAGAAAAAGGTGTCCAAATTGGGACACTTGAAGAGCAAAGGGCAGTGCTGTTGACAATACTGTCCAAACATCAGGCAGACGCCAGGCCCGTCCCGGGCAAACACATCTAGTCGGTTACCTAGCTGAGGACGAAGTTAGTACAGCCAGGAAGGCAGCAGATACCGACTCAAAGGATTTGCCGTGAAAAGGTAAACAGGATGTGAGTCAGAAGCACTAGTGAGATAAGGGAAGCCTTTATCAGTTACTTATCTGGGAGGCAGGGGGGTCTTCTGGAGGTTTTAGAGGGGGAGGGAAGGAGGGGATGAGAGGTCTCGCGTCCTCCATCCCCCTGAACAGCACCGTGCACAGAGACAGAACTCAGCGTTTCTTGCGTGAATGTTGACCGTGGGTCTCCGGCCCTCCCGGAAGCAGGAAGGAACAGAATAAGCAGGAAAGGGGAGGGGCGTTTCTTCCTTCGAAACTATACAAAAGGAGGAAAGAAAATGTCTAACACAAAGAGGCGGGCCAGAGCATTTTATTTCAACCTAGTGAGCATCAGCGACGCAGCTGTCAGAGGAGGGTGCATTTCCATTTCCCAATCAGCCTCACTGAGGCTTTTTCTTCAAGGGAAACAAATCAGTAAGAAAGTAAACTCAACTCTTGGAGTTCTTTGGCACTAATTCCCACAGAGAAGCTCAGAAGCAGAATAAGGAAATGCATCCTTAGTGAAACATCCGTCATTCAGTGCTGAGCAGTTTTTTTGCTGATAATTTCACTTCAGGCACACGTAAGTTTAAACGGGTAAGAACAGAACAGCTGGTGCTGGGATGCAAAGGTGTGACCATACTCGCTCGGGGCCGTGGGAGAGAAGGCTCTTGTGGATGAAACAGGCAACAGAGTAAGAGAGGCTATGAAAGTGCCGTCGGTGGCCCCGACTACCAGCCCGGCAGAGTGAGTCAGGGGACAACAGATGCAGTAGACAAACTTGCAGCCAACTCTCCAAGCTGGGAGAACCATCTAACACATTGTGGCCTGTGTTAATGGTGCAGAAGAACGGAGCAGGATTGCACACCATGAGCTCTTGCTTCAGGATGGCTCTACCGACTGGAGGGGGTGGTGCCGGGCAACGGGAGACCGAGCCCACGTGCTGCGCTGTCAGCGCCTTCGGGCTGTCCCTCTGAGCGCCTCATCCGCCCTGGCTCCTCCTCCGTTTGTCTCAACATTTTTCTTCCACCTTCCAACCACCAGCTGTGGAGTCAGAGAACGCCTTCCCCTTTCTCTTTGTTTCTGTGGCGCTCCCAAAATGTAGAGGACAAACCCGACCCTCAGCAGGAACCATCACCACCGGGGCCAGAGGCTGGCCCGCCACTGGTCCCCACCCCGAATCTCTCCATTCAAACAGGCTGCAACGCACACCTGCTGCGGGGACACGTCCTCACTCGGAAGCGAGAAGCGATTCCAACACTGATCTCCCCCGCTGTGCACTTGTGCTAGAGTAAATTATTCCGGTGAAAACATTTTAAAAAGACAGGACCATACTATGGGAAGGGAAGGAAATTCGGCCAAATGTCAGGCAGAGGATAAATTCATCGAAACAGCGTTCACCCACAGACAACTCTTGAGTGACCACCAGGCAACCCACCCGCACGCGGCGCCACCTCGCGCAGAGGAGAGGGAAGGCTTCCACAGAACGCACCGGAGAGGGGCGGGCCCCGCACCCACAGCGGGGGAAGCCGCACAACCCGGCGACACAGCAGGGCCAGGGGACGGCCACTAGGGAACACGCCCCCGCAGGAAATCCATCCTAAGGCCTGGGTCACACTCTGAAACACGGAGTTCACAGTATACATTTAAATAACCAGACAGACAGATGTTTATTACAAAAGTCAGTTTATTTTCCCTCCCTGTGTTTCATATTTTCCCTTTTTGTCAGTAATAAGCAATCGGACTGGAGATCTGCTTGATTAAATAATATTAACAAACACCAAATTTCAGAGTATAAAGCAGGATGTTGAAAAATATTCCCTAACCCAATGCAAATTGGGTAATCCTCGAAACTGCACATTTACTCCCTAGTTTGCATACATAATTTAAAATATTTATACAGAATGACCTTAAAATATGGATGATTATAGGGGGGGCCCAAAAAACCCCCAGAATTATCTTCTGGGGGACAGGCCCCTTGTAGTGCAGGCTTCCCCCGCTAGGTGGGTGTTCTAGGAACCCATGTGTAACAGTGCACCAGCAGGTATTGTTGTGAGAGGCTGCGTTTGGCTTCACTGATCTTTCTTTTGAAGACTCTTTCAATAGTTTGCCCATTGCATGATGGGTGATTTACAAGCACACCTGCCCACACCACGCTGAGTGTTCAGCAGTTTTGGACCCAAAATAGCATGGCTTCTGTGCCCCACCCTCCCTGTTCACCTGATCGCACTCTGAGCAATTTCTTTTTGTTTCCCCAGATGAAAAAAGTCCTCAAAGGGAAATGTTTTGCCGATGTGGAACAGGTGAAACAAAAACGGCAGGAACACTGGAAAGCATCAAAATCAATGCATTCAAAGACTGTTTTGAACAGTGGGAAAAAAGTCTCGACAGGTGTATTGTGTCAAATGGAGGGTACTCTGAAGGTGACCGGGGTTTAAACATGTAAGAATGAATACACAATTCCTTACAATAAATCCTGGGATTTCTGGGTCCCCTCTCATGGTATAGAATTCACAGCCCTGAAGATGTAAACTCTGCAAACGTCTAAGGAACAGGTACCTCAAGCCCCAGTAACGCATTACTGTGATTCAGTGTCACACACCTGAATTACTTACTAGGACACCAGGTCTTTCCTTTTCTCCAATTTTAGTCCTCTGCTGAGGTAACTCAAGGAACCCGGCTGCAGCCGAGATCAACCCCCAGGAAATAAGGCTGAGCAGAGGGGCTTCCGGGGGGGAGGGCCTCAGGCAGCAAATCGGGGCCAAGCGCATCGGCCGTGGGACACACGCTGGCACGTTCACAGCGGACACACTGTGGCCCTTGAAAGGGTGGCTGAACTCTTTCCAGAGTCAGGCGGTTTTGAATGAAGACGGGAAACAAGCCGACAACAATTTGACGCTATTTTTGCTTCTGTGTGTAGTGTGATCTTCCCCACTTGGGTCACAAAGGCCTTCTTGATCCACAGCGGGCTTATGAGGATCCAGCTGGAGCACCTTGTCAGGATTACAGGCTTCCAAGATGAGCCTCATTTCCAAACTCATCTCCAAAGCAAAATGCAACGAGTCTTTGTATTGCTATAAACCTTGCACGCCTGCCTCGTGATCACGCAGCTTCCCAGGCTGGGGAACAAGGGTCAAAGTCCGATCCAGCCTTTCAGGTTAAAGGGATGAACCTCAACAGGCCCAGTGAGGACACCGGCGGGTTCACAGGCCACCTGTGCATCCGCGAAACGACACTGGAGTGCATCAGCGGCAGTTCCTGTAGTGTGTGCAGCAAAGCGCCCCGGCCCCAGTCCGCTCAGCATGCAGGGGCCACGCTGCTGAACGGGGGGGGCTTGGCTGGCTGAGGTTGGGCCGGCTCCCCTGAGACAACCCCAAAAAGGACGAATTAAAAGAAATAACAGTTCTGACGTGTCTCCCATCATTCTTGGTCTTTTGTGGGCACAGTCACTCACTCAGCACTCGAGCCTGTCGCCTTTGCACGAGAGAGCACGTCTCCCTCACTATTAGCGGCGAGATAAACAGAACGGTGCAACTCGTCTGCGAAGAGAGAAAAGCAGGGAATGTGCAGTAATAATGTAACTGGGTCTGCTGCGGCACTGCGTTTGGAACACAATAATGACTTTGGACAATTACATTCATTCTGACTTCATACAAAGACAGCTCTAACCTTCAGTGAATTAGAAAGTAATTTTGAAAATTACGGTTTATATTACAAAATACTTAATGTTACATTACAGTCTCCAAAAAAAGAACTGTTACACAAATTAAATAATTTACAACAGGTGGAACAGAAAATTGATCCTGGGGCTCAGATTAAAAACGGTGTTTCTTAAAACGGATCCAGTTTCTTTCCATGACAATTTCTAGTATAATCACAACAGCGAGTTCACCGGGAGACACTCCCTCTACTTAGCAGGGGCGCGGAAGGGGACAGTTTCCCGACCGGCCTCCGGGAGCCACAAGGCGGCGGGCAGAGGAACACGTCCTTTCTGAGAGCAGAGCACGCAGGCCTGAGGGCAGCGCCAGGGAACTCCAGGTGCTGAACTGCCCCGAGACTCCCTGGACGAGCCGGCAGTATCTGGGCTCGGGACGACTGAGGCTGCCTCCGATTAGGGCGCCCTAGACTTCGGGACAGAAACTGCTTGGCAAAGCTGTCACTCAACTCTCTCAAGCACACCCATCTTGAGCACCGTCTCACTGACAACGGGACAGACGTCCTGTGCTTATTCAGGAAGCAACATTTCAGAAGCACGAGGCCTTACTCCGTACTGGCCATTTCCCAGGAAGCGCCAAATTCCAGCCAGCAATGTCTAAGGCACACACACGTTTTCTCAAGAGACTCCAGGTTCCTTTTAGAACCTGCACTTTTTTAACCCCAAGTGGCTGGGCGCACACTGTCATTTCCTTCAGAAGTTCCGGATTATACCTACCAGACAGAGGGCGCCCTGGAGGAGCACTCTGATTAATGGTTGCTGATACTTTAATAAGTCTCTTGTCATTTTTTTTCTGGTTTTACAAAAGACAACACTCATTAGACTCAGGTCAAGGGCAAACTAAGGGCCCTTTGCGTCCTTAAAACAAGAATGTCTTTTTACACCAAAAAAAATGTTACTTTTCACAAAAGGGTCTTTAAAAGTAATCAGCAGTTTTGCTGGTTTAAGAAGTGATTTAAGTAAACACTTTAAACTAAATTAATAAGGAAACATACTCATTCAAAAAAAAGGGGCGCACACACTTACCATGAGAATGAAGAAGTAGAAAACCCACATCCATCCCAGGTTGTCCTGGATCAAAGACACCAAATACTGTAAGGGAGAAAAATAAGTCACAAGATAACCCTTCATAACTGATACGATGAAGTAGCTAAAAGTCGATTACACATGGCTCTTCTAAAAAACAAGAAGGGAGTCAGGGTCTGTAGAATGTTTTGCAGTTTACAAGTCCCTCTCCCACGCGCGTTCCCATGGAGACGGGGCTGACGGCCTCCACTGTGCAAATCGGCAGAGGCCAGACCCACACACTGCGCACCAGGAGACACGGGTTCCAGGGGCTTCTTTCTGCTCACTGTGCTATCGAGAGAGGGAGCTGCACATCCTCAAGCTGCCCCCGTTGAATCACTCTTTCTCGCAGTGAGACGTGCTATAATCGAAGCTTTCGGAAATAGTCTGTCTTTTAAGCACATCACTCATTTTGCAATTCGTGCTGTTTGCTCACAGGATTACTGTATGACCTTAATGCCCTACAGCATATTCTTTTCCTTTGTTTTCAATTAATAAAAATAGCATTTAACCCTTTTTTTTTATTAAGGGAAAACATATAACATAAAATGTACTCTTATAACCATTTTTCAGTGCACACCTCAGCGGCATCAAATACATTCACGACGCTGCACAAGCATCACCGCCGTCTGTTTACAAAAGTGTTCCTCGCCCCAGACGGAACCTCTGTGCCCAGCAGGTGGTGACTCCCCACTGCCCTCTCCTCCCAGCCCCCGGTAACCTCTGCTGTGCGTCCTGTCTCTGCCTTTGCCTGCTCCAGGTATCTCGGGTTAAGTGGGATCACGCAGCGTTTGTCCTCTGTGTCTGGCTTATCTCACTTACCACACGTTTGTAAGGCTCTACCTTGTTCTGCACATCAGAACTCCCCTCCTTTCCACAGCTGACTGATACTCCACCGTGCAGCCAACCCACCTCTGTCTATTGGCTTGTCTACCGCTCGACGCGTGGGCTGTTTCCACCTCGGGACTATAATGAAGAGTGCCAGGGTGCACACCGGCGTGCAAGCACCTGAGACCCGCTTTCAGTTCACTGGGGCGCTACACCCAGGAGTGGATGGGCTGGGTCTCGGGGTGATTCCGACATCGGACTTCCTGAGAAACCACCACTGTGCTTTCTGTAGCAGCGGCACCATTCTACATCCTCACCAGCAAGGTGTGAGAACTCCAGTGTCTACACGTCCTCACCAATACCTGCTTTTTAAATTAATGATACCCATCCTAACAGGTGTGAGGTGGTATCTCACTGTGCGTTTTTGTTTGCATTTTCCTAACAACTAAGAATGTTGACAATCTTTTCAGGCATTTGTGCGTATTTGTTACGACAATTTGTCCCAATGTTTTCTTCTGAAAGTTTTATAGTTTTAGCTCTTAAAGTTAGGTATTCGATCCATTTTGAGTGAATTTCTATGTATGGTATAAGGTAAGGATCTAAATTAATTCCTTTGCATGTGTATATCCAGTTTTTTCTGCACCAATTGGTAAAGAAACCATTCTTCCCCATTAAATGGTCTTAGCACCCTTGTCAAAAACCAGATGGCCACAGCCCTGGTCGGGCTGCTCAGCTGGTTGGAATATTATCCTGTGCACCAAAAGGTTGTAGGTCTGATCCCTGGTCAGGGCACACGCCTAGGTCGTGGGTTCGATCCCCAGTTAGGGTGTGTACAGGAGGCAACTGATCGATGTTACTCTCTCTCATCGATGTTTCTCCCCCCCCACCCCGCCTTCCTCTCTTTCTAAAATCAATAAAAACATATTCTTGAGTAAGGACTCAAAAAAAAAAATTAATTGACCGTAGGTGTGAGAATTTAACCCATGTTCTTTGATCACATTACTCATCAGCTTTATAAAAGGGAGAACTTTAAAGCAGAACAGCTTAGATGTGACTTAGCCTGGGTCACATCACAGGAAGCGAAAAAGCAGAGGTCTAGTCGCCTATTGAAAGAGGCACAGTGGCCGTCCAAACGCTGGCTGCTACTTTACGTAACTTCACCGATACATGACTTACACATCGTGAAGCTCACCCGTGTCAAGAGTAGAACTCAGTGGTGGTCAGCACACTCATGGCACCGTGCAACTGTCACTGTAGCCTAAGCGGAGACCGTTGTCACCACCCCCGAAAGAAACCTGTCCCTGTTACTCGCCACTCCACAGGCCTACCCAACCCTGGGCAACCCCACTCTCTGTCCTTATAAACTTGCCTATTCTGTCACTTCACCTGAATAAAATCATGTACAACATGTGGTCTCTCATGGCTGGCTTCTTTCACTTGGCACATTTTTAGGCCCATCCATGCTGTAGCGCCTACCGGTCTCTCCCTTCTCTGTAACTGCCCAATAATACTCCTTTATAAGGATATACCACATTTCATCGACCCAGTCTTCAGCTGATGAACATCTGAACCGTTGCTGTGATTTAGCTGTTGTAGATAATCCAGTTACGAACGTTTGTGTGCAGGTGCCGATGCGGACACTTGTTTTCATTCAGTCTTACTGAGCCCCTGCCATTTGTCAAAAGCACGCTGCGTGCTGGAAACAGGAGGAAGAACAGAGAGCCTGTTCTCAAGGAAAGCGGAGTCCGGTACCGTGGGCAGATAAACCAGGAAATGCGAGACACCGTGACCAGTGCCCCATCACAGGTATGCAGCAACTGCTGTGGAAATCAGGAGGGAAAAACTTTTTTTCCTTGGGCAGTCAAGGAAAGAAAGGGAGAATGAAGTCATTTGAGGTGAGTTCAGGGAGTAGCTAGGGAGAAGGCTGACAAGAGTTTTTAATAGCAAATCGTGGAGCTTAAGGTTTCACACCCCAGGCAGTGGGAAATCTCTCAGAAGTCAACACAAAGGGGAAGGCGTGAAGCCAACAATGACGCATCCCGATCCTGTGGCCCAAACCGCGAGGTAGGAATCTGAAGACTGGGAGGTGAGACGTTCTAAATAAAGGTAAACTCCCTGAGATGTTCAATGCAACCCACCCATGGGATTAGTGAAGAACACATCAGCGAGGAAGAAGAGCAAACTGCAGCGCTTTCAGAAAAGGATGCCCAGTACAGTCTCTCCTTCCCGCTTGGACACAGACATCTCAACCGGCAGCCAAAGCCTTTTTTGGTTCCTACTCCAGAGCACGATCAAGTAAGCAACTTCTCCTGCCTCTGCTAAGTTTCTTCCCCTCAGTCTCATGACCAAATGTGCTAAGCACATCAGTCATGTCAATCATCCATTCCACAACCACTCAACACACACCTGAATGTGTACCAGGTGCCAGGCACCACGCTCAGTACTGGGCTGCAGCAGAGCACAAAGCAGAGCAAAGGCCACCCTCGTGACGCCTACACCATGGTGGGACAGATGGACATCGACAAGCACAGACATACTACGTGGCTGGGTAGTGGGAAGTATTAAAGCCGGTTTCCTTTCCTTCTCACTTGCCCCCTCATTCACAAACGGATACCAGTGATCTATCCCCACTAAACAAGCAAAACAGCAACGACCTAAATGCCAAAACTACAATACAAGCCTTTTCTTTCCATTCTCCTTTCCCTGCCAGCTCCACGTCCACGATCTTACTAGCTCCTCCTTCGATTCCGGAGTCCGATTTCTCTGACCACCGGGCATCCCCTATGGTTTTGCCTATGTTCTCCTTCCCCGTTTAACACCTCACCGCTTCCGTAATTTCAGCTACGCTATTCATGTGGCTGATTCTCAAATCCTTATTTCTGCAAAACCAGCACTCGGCGACCTGCAGTGGCATACCCTAGGAGAGGCATGACTCATGACTGTTCCAGACAAGAGACACCCTTCTGAGATGAGGCTGCTTTAAGGAAAAAAAAAGAGAGACCGATCTGAAGAGTTCTTACTACGCATAGTAGGCCAGTCTCGGCCCAGAAGCTCTCCAACTTTAGAGCACAGAAGACTCGCCAGCAGGCTTGCTGAAACAGAGATCCCCAGGCAATCTGTGGTAAGCTTAGGGTTCTGTGCGTCCCATGAGCATCCCAGGTGATCCTGATATATACAAGACACACACAAACCGCCCTTGGAGACATGCTATGGAGCCGAGAAAGGGACTCTGAGCAGCTGCAGCCCCTGGCCACTTCTGCTGGGGATCTATCTATGTGAAGAGTGTGTGTGCGTGCGTGTGTGTGTTTGGTAGGGTCTGCGTGTCAGTGGGGGATAATGAGAAGCATGTGTCTCATGGCCTCCTTGGAGTGTCAAATTCAGGCTGAGAAACGGGGTGGCAGGTTGGAACTGAAGGATCTATCTGATGAGGTGTGAGCTTATTTCCAGACAGAAAGAATCTGGAAGTAAAAGTGGAAAAAGGAACTAAAAATGTAGAGGTACCTTCCATATGAGGTCACAACAGCCGGACCTCAGCAAAGACTAAATCCCCGGGGTGCTCAGTGCAGCCGGATCCCAGGGAAGACTAAACCCCAGGCGCCCAGTGCAGCACACTACAGCACAAGAGTGCCACCTGCTGTGGTCCAGTGGGCGGGGCAAACCCTCCGATCAAGTCAACCCCTCCTCTGCTCACTCACCTGGCCCACGGCAGCTCCAATGCTCCCGGTTCCGTCAACAATCCCTGTGACAGTCGCCAAAGCCTCACTGCTCCCTTGGATCAGCTCCTGGCGACCCAGGTCGGCAGAAATAGCTGAGCTAATCATATTAGAAGGTCCACCAATAAAAAATCCTGCAGTCATAAACAGAACAGGTTCTTATTAAAACACTATTCGTAACTCCACTGGGAATCTACTGAATGAGGCAAAGTCTTATCCTGCAATCTTAATCAATATGTTGGAGAGAAGAAAAACGGGACAAGAATAATAGCATAAACAATAAAACGTTTAAAAACTACACTGGAGACAAATGGAAAAAAGGGGAAAATAACCAGTGAAAATGGAATTTCTCCCAGGTGGTAGGCAGCATCTTCAAACTAGTTGGCATCCCCTTTTCCAAAGCCCCTTCCTGAATTACACGGCGTGCCGGTCCAGTTTACTGAAACCAAGACACAAAGCCCAGGGCGAACTCACAGCCTTCCCAGCCCAGAAGGGTGCTTCTGCTACTAACGAACAAACTACACTCTCGGTCCGACTCTGCCGTGGCAGAGGCGCATCACTGAGCACCTGTGCACCAAAGCCAACCGAGTACAATGGGAAAGGGAGAGGGGGCAGAGGCAAAGCTGGGGAACCGGCGCGGGCGGCTCTGTCCACACTGCTCTCGGGGAGGCAGTCCGAGGACCCGCAGGCGGCGGCCACGGGAATCTGCCAACACGGCCGGAATCGGTCCCCTGAGCCTCGGGCAGCATGAGGTGCTCTCACCATGCTGAGCACGATCTGAAGTTCAAAAATAAAGAATCTTTCTGTAACATGGTCCCTAACTGCACTCAATTGTTTCATCTGGGACAAGGGTGAAGTAATACTGACCAATTCCACACAGGAGGCAAACTAGCCATACGGGACTTTTAAAAGCTGGTGAACTGGTTTCCAATGTGGCAGCTTCTTAAGCCACTTTCCAGAAGCTGGGCAGCGGTCACAACTGCTGGGACATCTCTGTCCAAAGGGACTAATTTCATAACAAAAGGGCTGAGGGGGCCACACAATAAACGACAGAGAAATAGAACTTGGAGGAGGAGTCTTTCATTCCCCCATTTGAATTCTCTGCAGCTAAGGTTTCGGTGTCACCTGCAGAGGAAAGGGGGCAGGGAGAAGGAGCAGGTGCCATACCTGTGACAGCCATCAGAAGAGCATTAATGGACTTATCGTTCGGAGAACCTGGGAGGGAAGACAGAAACAGCACGCTGATTCGAAAAGCGCGTTACGTGAGCCTCCCCTGGACAGTCCGCCGAGACCTGGTCCCTGTGGCCCCACGGATCCCGCCCAGACATGACAAAGGGATACAGCTCTTTCACGGCCTCCTCCGACTTCCACTTGTAATGTCTGCCTCTCACTGGCGCTCAAGCTAATGAGACTGTGAAGAGCCGCAGAAAAACCCTGCTCCCATCTCGGCAGCACCTTAAGGGACATGTACCAAACCTACTAATTAGCATTTTTCCTCTCTTGAAACATTTTCCCTTTTATTGTTTTATTGGTTCTAATGCTATCCCTCTGGAGTAGGCTCCAGACAAAGCATATATACCCCTGAGCCAGCTCTTAAACCAACAAAGCAGAAGAGATGCCGGTTTCCTTCCCAACACAAAACCACGTGGTGGTGCTTCCACCGGGTGTGTCCAGGACAACAAGAAGGCCCCGTGCCGCACCTGAGTAGCAGGTCTCAAGGATCTCCCCAGGGTTAATCATTGACCTGAGGCAGGTGCCTCAGCCTGAGAGATCAGGAATACAATTGAACTGCAAGGGCATACTCACGACTGTACCCAACCAGGGACACAACGGCCAGAAGCAGACTCAGCGCCAGGACCGGCGCTCTCTTCTGTAAGATGTCGGAGATGAAGCCTTGCAGAGTCCCACCTGTGAGCAGAGAGTGCGCGGCAAACACCATCACTTACAATGCAGCTCGGGCACCCGACACTTGCTCATCGGGCACCTCCCACCTGCTGTCAGGACCCTAAAACTGGTCTAGCCACAAAGGTGCCAGACTCGCCTCCAAAGTTCCCTCCCCAACTTCCTTTTAGAACAATTACCTGACTGTTCACTGTCACGATGGCTGATTGGGACAAGGCATCACAAAGCAGAAAAGCAGACACCAAAATAAGGAAAAAGAGAAAATCGCCAAAACCACCCACTATTCCTTGTTGTTTTCCTTCCTCAAGCCAGCTGTGAGGGCTTTTCTGGATTTTTCTTTTTACTGAAAAGATGGTCAAGGACCATGCCTCATGGCGTATCAGCAGCAGCCCATAGATACAAAGGGGAACCCAAGAAAACCAGAATCATCTTCTGGAGGGCAGGCCCCTCGTAGCACAGGCTTCCCCTGCTAGATGAGTGTTCTAGGAACCCATCTGTATCAGGGCACCAGCTGGGGTGGTCGTGAGAGGCTGCGTTCGGCTTCAGTGAATTTTTTTTTTTTTGAAGACTCAGTGTGTTTGCCCATTTCATGATGGGTGATTTACGAGTGCACCTGCCCACACTGTGCTGAGTGTTCAGCAGTTCTGGACCAAAAACAGCCTGATCCCCGTGCCCCATCTTCCCTATTCACCTGATCTGGCCCTAGCGACTTTTTTTTTTTATTTCCCCAGGTGAAAAAAGTCCTCAAAGAGAAACATGTTACTGATGTGGAAGAAGAGAAACAAAAAAAAGGCAGAAACACTTAAAAGGCATCAAAATCGACAAGTTCAAAAACTGGAGCAGTGGGAAAAACGTCTCGATAGGTGTATCACATCAAATGGAGAGTGCTCTGAAGGTGACTGGAGTTTAAACAGGTAAGAAGGAATACACCATTTTTTATAAATAAATTCCATTTGGGGGGCCCTCTCACATTCACTAAAATGCAATGCAGAAATTACGGTTTACTAGTAACTAACGGGTCCTGACGTTTACAAAGAGGAGACATGCATCCTTCAGGCAGCACAGTCACACTGAGCTGCAGCCCACGTTGAGTTCAAGGGCTCGGGGACACCTGGTGCATCCTCATCAGGCAGCAGCACAGACGCATGGGAGGCTCTGAAGGCAGCAGCCTCACCTCCAGCGCGGGGTCTGAGAATAAGGGCGGCCCTGGCTGGTGTGGCTCAGTGGATTGAGCACCAGCCTGCAAACCGAAGGGTCACTGGTTCGATTCCCAGGCAGGGCACATGCCTGGGGTGCAGGCCAGGTCCCCAGTAAGGGCACACAAGAGTCAACCACACATTGATATTTCTCTCCCTCTCTTTCTCCCTCCCCTACCCTCTCTCTAAAAATAATTTAATTAAAATCTTTTTTAAAATGTTTCCTACTCCCCTGTTTATACTTCTAGCTATTACAAAGTCACTACTAAAATCTGCTGTGGACAAACCAGCTAAAAAACATTCACGAACATTAATTCCTGCTATTATTCCTACCTCTGTGATTGGACGACCTAAGCACTAAGCCACTGTGTACAGCCAAGGGCTAAGATGGTACTGAAAGTGTGTGTGCGTTACATGAAAAGCAACCACAGAGGGAAACGTGCCAAGACAAAAGCACAGTCCTGTCCACACAGGACTGAGAAGTCAGAGCGCCACAGATCACGGGGCTGCCGCAGGCTGGGTCTTCTTTCCTACGGACTTTGTTCCTTCAAGAGTCTGACTGATTACTGGTAGGGCAGTTTAGGAAAAATGGCTGTGGAATAAGTAATAAAACTCGGAAAGATGCCTGATTTCACAACCCAGTGAAAGATTACTAGTGACCAATTATTATCAAAAAAGATGCAGGACGGGCATTACCTATAATCCCTCCAACGTCGTACCAAATGGACAGCTTGTCAGCTTCAGCCTCCTTCCATCCAAAGTTGTTGCTCAGGTAGAAGGGCAACCAGAAGAAGAAGGAGTAGTTCACTAACTTCAGGCAGGCATAGGCCAGCGAGTACTGTAAGGAAGACATTCGGTCATCAATCAATAAGCACCAGCATGGCGGGACCACCACTTCTCGGTAGCGCCTGACTGTAACGTTAAACACTGCTACCCGCCCCCGTCGGCCTGGCTCTGCCCAGGCCCCCTCTTCCCGTCAGGCCCGTCAGCTCCTGGAAAGGCTCGCGCAGCAGGCCTTCGGGACAGGAAACACACATGCCCGTCTCCCCCTCTCCCCACTTTCTTCTCCTTCCGGTTCTCTGGTAGAAGCAAACCAGTGTTTTGAACCTGTAAGGCAGGGCACAGACTCATATTTCCTTATTTAGACAAAGATTAAAGGTGTTCATTCGTGCCACTGACTAGCATTAACCGCAAGCAAATAAATGCAGTAAACATCACAGCTTCAACTGCTAGCAGCCGAACTATTTTAGCTCTTCCACTTCCTGCAAGGTGAATACTGTGAGCGCTGGTGAACATGACTGAACTCCAGTGTGAAGGTCTAAAACAAGCACCAACATTACAACTACTTTCACATTCTAGTTTCCAAGGGCTCTACATTCTCGCATCCAGGGGAAACGCACAGAGTGTCTCTGCTGACTCAGAAAGGAAAGAACACGCCTGTCACAGGCCTCCTGGCTCTACTTTTACGAATAAAGGTCGCAGCTGCCTTAAGGTGGCAGTGGCGCCAAGACGCCCGTATTTGACACATTACTACCAGGAAACCCTGACACCGAGCATCAAAGGAAAGAGGGGGAGGAGCAGAGAGACTGACTTCAAAGGGTGTCTGGCTAGTATATTCTTCTCCCTGGAGCTGCCAGTTACTCCCGAGGTATCACTGGTTCTAAAACAGCTTCCCCGGCCAGGCAACAGCCGCCCCCCAGAGGGCCCGGGCCCAGGCTCGAGTGCACTCTGCCCAGACAGCCTGCTCCGGAGACAAAGGAATTGCATTAACTAGATTTCCTTCGCCTCCCTTCCCAGGTCGGGGAACAGCAGCTTGGGAAACACAAAGGAAGAGCGAAAGATTCCATATTCAGCCACAACAAATTTAAGTTCTATCTCAGAAATTAATCTATTACCAGCAGAGTATTTTAATAACTGGTTAAAATAATCATTAGCATAAGAGCAGGCCTAAAGAAACTTACATTCCCCTTATAATACACATATTTTAAAGATCGTGGGGACTTGTATTTTCACTCATATTTGACTACGTGTTTGCAAAAGTCAGTTCTCTCAGTCAGCCTGGGGGGCGCAGGCTGAAGGGAGGGGACGGGCGTGAGGTCAGACGACCTGCAGACCCCGATTCCAGCTCAGGGGTTACACTCAGAAGCACCAGGGAACAACAGAATAAAAACCGGTGTGTTCACAATACGACGACGCCAGAGGCCCCAGGGGAGACGGGTATCTTCCTATTCCACAGGAGGGGGGACTGAGACTGGAGGGTACACCGAGCGACTCCCCCTGGCCTCCCAGGGAGTTTGTGGGTGAGCTGGAAACACAGCCTAGACCTCTTCGCTTCCACTCCCGTGCGAGAGCGCCCGAAACAGCAAGACAGAAAACCTGCTGCAGGAGAGACTTAATTCAGACGTTAGGAAGTTCTCCTGACTGTAAAGGCTGAGGAAACACTGGGATGCGTTACCAAGAAACACTGTGTGGTCCTATCTTGTGCTCTGGACCTTTCAGTAAACGGGCCAACAGTGGTGTCCACCAGAGTAAGAACGGGGGCAGTTAGGGCACATCTGACCCATTCAAACGCCTCTTGGCTGACATACAACTTTATAATACTGCACAGGCCAAAAAACGTATATTTAAAACCAACCCTGCCTTCTTCTTCGAATGCCAGGGCAGGTTCAGCAAACTAGGGCTCCAGGCCAGCTCTAGCCTGCCCATTCGTTCCACGGGGCCCATGGTTTCTTCTGCTCTCGAGTTAAATAATGGTGGCAGAGGCTGTGCAGCCCCTGCAAAGTCAAAGACATTTACTGTCTGGCTCTTCACAGACAAGGTCTGCCGACCTCTGAATCAGGTATCAGAAAAAACGTCAGTGGTGCCAACATAAAAATAAGCTGAGGGGCACCAGCCAATATTCCTCTGAACAGAAATGTCCACAACTAAGTATCAAAGAGAAGCGCATTACCTAAAGACGCGTCACCCCGGGGCCAAGTTAACGTCCGGGCCACCACATCTCACTGGCTGGAGGAAGGGCACCTGGGCGACCCTTACCGGTATGACTCCAGGGAGGCAGCAGGCCTGGTGAAAGCTTATTGCCTGGATGGGGGTGACAGTGCTGCCTTCTTGGATTGAATAATTAGCCTCATATTCATCTTCGTTTTCAGCACCGCTAATTAATGGCCTGTGCGAGTCTTCTTCAAAATTTTCTTCTGCTTCGATGCCAGGGAGACCTAGAACAACAGTACCAGCCATCATTTGTAGAGAGCTTCCCAGGTGCCTGGCATTGTGTTAAGTGCTGTGCATGCATCATTACTTACGGGGTCACTATTATTTTATTTCCACTTTATAGAAGCAACAATGTTCAGAGGTCAAGATCAACTAAGGCCAATTAAGATCACATAGCAACAGACCCAGGTCTCTAATTCTCCTTTATCAGGCTTCAAAGCAATATGTTTTCAACTAAATCACACTAGGTCCCTAATATACAAAAAGAAGTTATTACATACTATTAAACTGATGTGCTTCTGTAATCACATTCAAAAGATAGACTCGTACATCTATTTGCTTCTGCGGTTTCGTTTGTTCGAATTCTGTATTTAACCAGAGATAAGTATCACCCTAAATTATTTTTCTGAAGTAAATGAAATCTGTCTCAACAAGTGAAATTAAAAACACATCATGCTGATTTCTAACCAGCGTCTCAATTATAAAACTCACTGGCGCATGACGAGTTTTCCCTGTACCTACAAAAGGTGAGCCTCGCCCCCTCAACCACGTGCGGCAACGCCTGGCGGAGCTGGACTTGGGCCGCGGGACACAAACAGCGACACTGCTCCTTCAACCCACTGAGAAGAGCTCCCGGCTCTCCTAGGAAAAGAAGACCGGCTGTCCTGGCCTCAGACTTCTCTCTGCCGATAACAGTAAGACGCTCTGAACAGAAGCGACGCTTGTCCTCACCAATTTCTTCAGGTGACACCAGGAGTCCAAAGAAGATGACGATCCCACCAGCAAACTGCACAGCGGCCGTCACCAGAAAGGCATACTGCAGGAGAGAGGGCGGGGCCCTTACACATTGGGACACTCAGCAGAGGAGGCACGTGTGGGGGGTGGGGGTGGGGGTGGGGGCCGGAGCGGAAGGCCTGGGAGACTGGGGAGAAGGTGAGTGCTGAGAGCCTGGCCTGCGCCAGGCACCGGGCTGCATTTTACCTGCGTTTTCTCTTTAGCCTTCCCAAAGGCTCTCTGAGGCTCAGGGAGGGTAATGAAGGTCCCCTGAACACTGAGTGGCACTATTATGACCGTGAAATCAGGGCTGGCTCCAAACATCTCCTTCTTACACCACATAACCTCCCATAAGACAGTATCTGCCATCGAAGATATTCTGCCCAGTTGAGCGGATCAAACAATAAAAAATGAAACAATAATATAAGGAAGCATGTGGCTGAATAAATGAGGCGGCCCGCTCCTAATGAGAAACACGTATAGGAATTTAAGAAGAATTAACAGCTAAAGAGGCTGAAGTAGTTCCCAGTGCTTTAAGGCAGAGCTGGAAATCAAAGGGACTGACCATCTCTCTGGGCACAGCTGAAGCAAAGGCACTGGGTGGGAGGCAGCGGCTTCTGCTGGGAGGTAACTGAGAATACAGAACTGACTTGGGAAGAACTGACTTGGGAAGAACAAGATTAAAGACTCTCAAAAGCCAGGCTGCGTAGCTGAATTTTATTTAACAGACAATGGAGCCTGATGTGGACAGATAGTTTAAATTTTTGAACAAGTTAGTGACAAAATTAGTGTTTTCAGAGGTCAAATGTGGGAGCATCACCTAGGGTGAACAGAAATTCCTATCTGAACCAACTGGTACAATCCAGGTGTGAAGCTAACAAGCCTGGAATAGGGGAGACTGTGAACACTGGACGGGCTTCCCATTGGCCCTAAGGAGGCACGGGCCACACATTCACCTGATCCAAGCAAAAAGAAGTAGATGCACAGTTAAAACTCCCCCCATGGCCGTCCTCCCATCCACTCAGTCCTCATTTTCCAGTCGTATAACCATCGCGGTTACTGCATCTTTACTTTCCAGAGCTTGTTTTAGAAACATACAGGCCAACACAAACGTGTACTCTTGACGTCTTCCTTCATTTTACACAAAGGTGTCCCTTAATACGCGCTCTGTTGCACCCTTGCTTTCTTCACCTAATGCAGTGCCACCAGTACTTGTCGTTAATTCATTCCGACGAGTGGCGAGCAAGCACCAAGTGCTGAAACATTTTTTCTCATCAAAATGTAACAAGTACCAGGTCTGACGAGTTCTGAAGCGGACGAGTACCGAGGTACCACTGTATACATACGCACCACTGAGATGTTGCCCCATCGGTACAGAGAGAGCTCTGCAATTCTATTTCACAGCTGCATGGCATTCCATGGAACAGGTGTATGACAGTTTAACTACTTCCCTTTTGGGTGCCACGCGTCATCAAAGTTTTGCTATGACAAACAACGCCGAAATAAGTGTCCTTGTAGCTCTGTGACTGCGTGCGCGCCGACAGTGCTAACTGCGGCGGTCACTCTGACAGGCAGCCCCGCACTGACCCCGCCAGGGGTTGTTGTTCACTCTGCCAACTGCAACGCCTGCTGCTCCACGTCCTCATAAGCACATTATTCGCACATTTTGGGTTTTTTACCAATCGCATAAATATTCGGGGTAGCTTCTTTCTGTTTTATGGTGCAGTTTTAATTTGCATTTCTCCTCCAACACCACCTACGCCCCACAAGGGCGGCGATGTTGTCCCGTTTGGCCAGCGTCCATTCTCTACTGTTTAGAGGAACTTAGTAAATGTTCATGAAGTAAAGTTACAGATGAAGTGGAATTTCTTGTCTTATGTTTATAAGCTGTTCCTAGTCCCTTTCCATCAACCACGTGTTCGAGTCTTTTACCTTTTTTCTCTGTTGTTGGCCCTTTTCTTATCGATTGGAGGGTGCTTGTTTATGTAGGAAGATTAGGTCTTTATTTGTGACGTGAGTTGCAAGTACCTTTCCTAACTGATTGTCTTTAGACTTGGGTGTTTTCCAAGAATGATGGTGTTTTAATCTGTCAAAAGTTTGTTTACTTTTAACACAAGCTTTGCCCTGAGCCACAGCTCAAGGTGTTTTTAAATGGCCACAGTATTATTTCCTAAAAAAATACAAGTATATGAGGTCTGTAAAAAGTCCAGCCATTGTTAATATAACAAGAACAGTTTGCTCAACATCGATGGAACCTGGCAGCCCAGGAGAGTGGACTGGAATGCGCATACATGGACAGTGATGACTTCACTGTACTAGTCAGGGGGCATGGTAGACACCACTGAGTGAGCATGTGGACTGTGTGGCCGTCACATTCAAAATGACTGAGTGAGTAGAATAACAAATCTGCATCAAATTTTGCGTTAAGCTTGAACATTCCACTGTGGAAACTATTTGGATGATTCAGAAGGCGACAGCTATGGGCAACTGGTGACTGGCAGCTTCATCACGAACATGCGCCAGCTCATGCATTACATCTCGTGCAATTTTTTAGCCAAACATCAAATCATCCAGGTGTCTCAGCCCCTTGCAGCTCAGATTTGGCTCCCTGAGACTTCTGGATTTTCCCAAAACTAAAATCACCTTTGAAAGGGAAGAGATTTCAGACTGTTGAAGAGATTCAGGAAAATACAACAGGGCAGCTGATGGCAACTGGGAGAACTGTGTGAGGTCCCAAGGTGCCTACTTTGAAGGGGACTGAGGCGTCATTTTCCTTTTAAGATGTTTCGTATATTTTATATCTTCTTCAATTAACGTCTCTGTTTTTCACAATACATGGCTGGATACTTTCTGGACAGGCCTCATCTGTATTTCTATACTCGAGGAAAAGCTAGAAAGAAACACCTACCTCGTAACCATACTGCAGGACAGAAGAGGCGAGGCATGCTCCCAGAATGTTGCCCACCGAAGCACAGGCGCTCCAGAGACCAAACACCACTCCTCGCCTACGACGGAGAACGGTGGAGAACAGAAGACCAGATCGTAAGACGGGGTTCAACTTGCGGTTCCAATATGAAACAGCCAAAACAATAAAAGTTCCCACTACAGAGAATCGACATTCCACGTTAAGACTTTTTAAGCATACCCAAATGGCAAAACATTGGGTCTCTTCAAACTCTAAGATTTTATTATAATAAAGCTTAATTTGGGTCTCACTGAAAGAAACTATGAAGGGAATTTAAAAAGACAAGTCACAGATAGAAGAAAATACTACATATCACTTATCTCATAAAACTAGTATCTGGAATATAAAGAAATCTCAAAACCCAACAATATGGAATCAGACAATGCAATTAAAACATTAAAAAAGTACAAATCTATGATCATCTCAAAATAAAAAATTCTGAAAAGGGGGCAAAAGATTTCAATATACTTCACATATAAAAATATGATGCAAATAAGCACATGAAAAGATGCTCCATGTCATCAGACGTTGGGGAAATGCAAATTAAAACCACAGCAGGTACCCCTGTATGACTAGGGAAGGGCTAAAATCAAGGAAGACCAAGCACACCAAGTGTTGGCAAAGGTATAACAGACACCAGAACGCTTTACACTCTGTTGGCAGAAATGTAAAATGGTACAGCCATGTGGAAGGGACTGCCAATTCCTTAGAAAGATATAAACACATCTACCGTATGATCCAGCCACTCTCTTCCAAGGCATTACCCACGGGAAGCGAACGCCCATGTCCACGTAAGGACCTGCACACAAACGTTCACAGTAACTTCACTCCTAACAGCCAAAAACTGAAAACCACCCCGACGTGCATCCACAGGCGGACGGATGAACGAACCGTGGCACAACGAACCCCCGTTCAGCTGTGAAAAGGACGGAGTGCCGCTACACAACACGAACGCGTCTCTAGTTCCGCTGAGGGAGGAGGACAAACGGGCGGGAGTGCACACGGCAGGGCTCCACTGCGATACAACTTCAGGAAGCTCTAACGCATCTAAAGCGACAGGAAGCAGACTGGCAGTTGTCCGGAGACCGCAGTGGGCGGGAGAGGGTGTGTTGGGACGGGTGGGGAGGGACTGCCAGAAGCATAAGGGCACTTGGGGGGGTGAGGGGCTGTCCATGATCTTCACCGTGATGACGGTTTTAAGGGAGTACTCATGCCCAAACCCATCAAATGGCACAGTTTAAATGTGTGGCTTACTGTGAACCCCAATATGCCATTTTTAACGTGATGGGCAGAAGAGCCTGGTGGAAGGAAAACTAGCTTTTACAACAGTCTTGGAGAAAAAATGATCAGCTCTGAACACCGGAAATATCAGTAAGACTGGTGGAAGAAAAAGTGTTTATGAAAAGTTCATTTGTTCACAGTTAACATTTGTATTTTATCTACCTGATACATATTATTAACACACTCTTCAGCCCTGACCAGCTCGGTTACAGGCTGGACGCACGCAAGAGGCAATCAACTGATGCTTCTCTCATCCATGGATGTTTCCCTCCCTCTTCTCCTCCCCTGTCCTTCCCCATCTTTAAAAATAAGTAAATAAAATCTTTTTTAAAAAAATTATCTAGCTCTTTAAACATTTTTATAACCAGTGCTGCTCAAGTGTTCAAATTTGCGTTACTAAGCCTCAATCTGTTTAAACAAACTCTGACCTGACACCCAGGAAAAGGGGCCTGGCCCGTGCAAGGTGGCAGCTTTTCTGGACAACGTCCTCACTGCTCGCCGCATCCCCCTGAGCCCCAACTTTTTGCACCTGGAAAACAACTGATTTGAAGGCGGCCATTCCTATATTCTTCCCCAGCGCTAAATTGCCCAGAACCTCTAAAATACATCACATCTGCCAAGGGGGTTCTGGAGGAAAGAGTGAGACAGTCAGGCTCTGACATGCCCCTCGCTGGCCAAAGGCGTGCTTTCCCGAGAAACTGGCCGAGACTAACCGCGATCTGAAGTGGCCGTGCTCTCGTGGGCCCTCCGTGGGTTACCGTTACGTCTCACTGCGCCGCAGGCAGTGCATCCTCAACGCCACTCACTAGTGTTGCTCGGTCAAATACAGTCTTACTTCAGAAAATAGACTGTGATGGCTTTCCTGACTGTTTTGTTTCTTCATCACTGATCCACAGAAGTAACAAGGGGCCAGCCTGCCCTGTCACTGTTGTCAAATAGCCAGTGTTATCCAATTTATAAAAACTCAGATGAAAATTATCTCAAAATGACACGCCAAAGTAACTTTGAGTGACAGGCTTTTGGGTGGTTTTGCCTTTACTTCTCTTTGCTCAATTATATTATCTGGTTTGTCCCCAATAAATGAGTAATCATTATATAATTTTCAAAAACCATGATTGGAAACAAATTACCCTAAAAATCTTAATTAAAAAAAAAAAAGACAGCACATGAGCAGACAGCACCACTCACTCCCAAAGAAAACCAGAGTGCGACCGGGAACAGGCGCCTCTCAAAGTCAGCCCCGTTCAACCCGTGCTGCCAGGGTCAGGAGGCAGCAGCAATCTCGGGCACACTGACACAACCGGCGCATTCTCGGGGGACAGAGCTTATTGTGACGAGACATGTCACAGGTGAATTCGCACGCCATTATAGACCCCGAGCCAGCAAGCATCATCGCCCCCCCCCCCCCCGAGTGAGACCGAGGAAGCCGGGAAGCGAGGGGAGTCCTCAGAGCATGCACTGATGGTGGCATGGGGCGGACAGCATCTGGTGCATCCACTGGCCCCGGAGTAAATGTGCAAACAAACAAAAAAGGTAGAACTTCCGGCCAAGATGGAGGCCTAGGTAAACACACTGTGCCCCTTGCACAATAAAAAGAAGGACAACAACAAATTTAAAAACAAGAAACAACCAGAACTGATAGAAAATCGAACTGTATGGAAGCCCGACAACCAAGGAGTTAAAGGGAAAACATTCATGCAGACCGGTAGATGGGGAGACAGGCAGCCCGGTGGAGAGATCTCGCAGCAAGATGGCAGCAAGGCAGCAGGGCTGGTGGGCAAGGTGGCAGCTGGTGGACCCGGAGAGGTGTCAGCTTGCAGGCCAGGAGGTCCCACATTCACGTGCAGATAAACCAGGAGGAGCAAGGGGGGAGCAAGACAGACCATGCAGCCTAGGGTTCCAGTGCAGAGAAATAAAGCCTCAAACCTCTGATTGAAAACATCTGTGGGGGTTGAGGCAGCAGCAGGAGCTCTCAGTCTTATGGGAGAGTTCGTTGGAGAGACCCACGGGGTCCTAGAAAGTACACAAGCCCACCCATCTGGGAATCAGCACCAGAAGGACCCAATTTGATGGTGGGTATCAGGGAAAGTGACTGAAAACCCGAAGAGAGTGGAGCAAGCAGCACTGTTCCCTCTCAGACCCCTCCCCCACATACAGCGATGTGGGTTGCCCCGTCTTAGTGAACAGCAAAGGCTTCACTCCTTATGTGTAACAGGCAAGCCAAGGCAAAAAAAAAAAAAGCCCAAATGAAAGAACAGTTCAAAGCTCCAGAAAAAAATACAACTAAGTGACAAAGAGAAAGCCAACCTATCAGATGCACAGTTCAAAACACTGGTTATCAGAATGCTCCAGGAATTCACTGGGTACTTCAAAAGCATAAAAAAGACCTAGGCAGCAATGAAGGTTGCATTATGTGAAATAAAGAAAAATTTATAGAGAACCAACAGTGATGGGAAGAAAATTGGGATTCAAATCAACAGTTTGGAGCAGAAGGAAGAAAGAAACATTCAACCAGAACAGAACGAAGAAACAAGAATTCAAAAAAATGAGAGGCTTAGGAACCTCCATGACATCTTTAAACGTTCCAACATCCCAATCATAGGGGTGCCAGAAGGGGAAGAGGAAGAACAAGAAATTGAAAACTTACTTGAAAAAATAATGATGGAGAACTTCCCCAATCTGGCACAGAAAATAGACTTCCGGGAAGTCCAGGAAGCTCAGAGAGTCCCAAAGAAGTCGGACCCAAGGATGAGCACACCAAGGCACATCATAATTACATTACCCAAGATTAAAGATAAGGAGAGAATCTTAAAAGCAGCAAGAGAAAAGGAGACAGTTACCTACAAAGGAGTTCCCATTGGACTATCAGTTGATTTCTCAAAAGAGACCTTGCAGGCAAGAAGGGGCTGGAAAGAAGTATTCAAAGTCATGAAAGACAAGGACCTACATCCAAGATTGCTCTATCCAGCAACGCTTTCATTTAGAATGGAAGGGCAGATAAAGTGCTTCCCAGATAAGGTCAGGTTAAAACAGTTCATCATCACCAAGCCCTTATTATATGAAATGTGAAAGGGATTTATCTAAGAAAAAGAAGATGATCAAAAATACGAACAGTAAAATGACAGCAAACTCACAGTTATTAACAACCGAACCTAAAAAACAGACAAACAAAAAACTAAGCAAACAACAAGAACAGGAACAGAACCACAGAAATGGAGATCACATGGAGGGTTATCAGCGTGGGAGAGGAGGGGGAGAGAGGGGGGAAAAGGTACAGAGAATAAGAAGCATAAATGGTAGGTAGAAAACAGACAGGAGGAGGTTAAGAATAGCATGGTAAATATAGAAGCCTAGGAACTTATATGTACGACCCATGGACATGAGATAAGGGGGGGATGTGGATGAGAGGGGGTGTGCAGGGTGGAGGGGAACACAGGGCGGGGAATGGGACAACCGTAATAGCACAATCAATAAAATATATCTAAAAAAGAAAAAAAGGTAGAGTCATCAATAAAGTAAATGTGTATCTCACAACACATAAATATTTATCTATAAAATCTGATAATTCAAATTAGTAATATTCCTGCAACTGGAGAATCACAAGTAACGACAAACAAAGCCGAGTCTCTGGGTATCTCAACTTATTCCCGTCCCGTGCAGTGCGCACGGCTCCTCGTCCTGGCGGCCCAGAGGACACTTCAGCAAGTGCCCATCCGCACACCCTGGCCACGCTGCACACACAAACTCGAACGCAACCTAACAATCACTTAAAGGTTCAGGGGGACACGCCCCCGAGTTCGGCATTCTCCCCCCGCGTCCTTACTGGAGCCTTTGCTACGTGACATCAGGCAAGTCCCATGGACCAATTGGGCCCTGTTTCCTTGTCTTTACTGGACGAAGGCTGAAGAACATCACCGAGTCTCAAGAAGGGGAAAGACAGGCAAAACCTTCAGAAAACACACGCTGGGACGGCACACGAGGTATTTACACTCTCGAAAGGGAAGGTTCAAGGAAAAACTGAGACGCGCCGCCTCAGCCACACTCAGAATCCGACCACGGCCGGAGCGTGCGGGGAAGGTGACCGACTGGGCCGATCCCCACTAAGGTCCACACCGTGCCCAGTGCACTGTGACGCGCCCAAAGCACTCGGACGGGAACCCCTCCATAAGCTACTTTAACTTCCTACAACGAAGGATGTGGGCGGTGTGGGAGGGACCGCGTTAAGTGACAAGTCTCAGTTCAGTCCAATAGTCCAGTGTTAAAGAGGGCTATGGCGGAGGAAGGAGGCGGCATACCCAGCTTTCCCAAACCAGTTGCCCATGACGGCGACCACGCAGGGCCACCCCGTGGACTGCAGCAGGCCGTTCACGATCCACAGGCAGCAGTACAGCCACTTGTTGTAGAAATGCAGCCATTCCGTGACCGTGCCAAAGACAAACACCTTGGAGAAGGGGAGAAAGAGGGACATGTGACATCCACACGGACACGTGGACACACTCAGCAGCCAAGCACTTAAGTTTCTGCGTGAAGAACCGCGGGCGGGAGACGTTCAACGTCTAGACCTGGGAGACGTGGGGCCAACTCTCGGGACGCTGCTGCTCCAGGCAGCGCTGGAGAGAGGGACGGCCACCGAACCGCCACCAGCCGAAGAGGCCACAGAGCATGAAGCTCATCAGTGACCATGCCTCCGACTCCTGTCTTCCACTCCGAAAAGTCAAGTCTTCGTTGTCTGGCCTCCTTTCATACCTTCGGTTGACCCTGGGACAGCAGCAAGGCCGGAGGTGCTGGCCCCGGGCCGTCAGAAACCCACGTACAACTTCTCACTGCCCCAGAACTTAACTTCTAACAGCCTAGTGTTGGCCAGAAGCCTTACCGATAACAGTCGATTAACGCATACTTTATACGTTTATGTATTGTATGCTGTATCTTGCAATAAAGTAAGCTAGAAAAAAATATTATTAAGAAAACCATAAGAGAAAATATATTCACAGCATCTACTGAAAAAAGTCCCCATATAAGTGGCCCCGTGTGGTTCATAGCCGTGTTGTCCAACGGTCGCCTGTATTTCCGTTTCCCCTTCCTGAGGCCTGTGTCTGTGCAGGACTGTTCTGGGCACCGAGTCCGCACAGGTGGCTGAAGTCAGAACCGTGCCAGGCACACGAGGGGACCGGGAGGCACCGGCTGTTACCACCACTGCGGCTGCTAAGCCAGTCGTAGTGACTCAGGACAGGCTCCAGAATTCAGGAGCATTCGTGTAATGACCGCTCTTTTCCAGACAGCCTGCCTGAGTGCACGTTTCATCCGTGGCCGAGGTCTCTTCGGGAATATCTGGCGTGGGCACGTACAACACCGTGTGATTCCAGTCACACGACATTCTGAAACGAGCGGAACTACGGAGGACAGAAAAATGGTCGGGGGAGGAGACGTGGCAGGTACACGTCTACACTCCCTTGTCCAAGTTCAGGTCTACACACGAAAAAGGGCGTGTTTATGTGCATATCTCGATTTCTTTAAAAAACCATTTAAATATGTTTTAAAACAGGTTTTCAAACAGTACATATACACACGTGTGGGTGAGCAGCTAGTAAATAAAGTGGGTAAATCTAAAATTTCAAAGAAAAAAGTGGCGACTTTAAAAAACAATAAAAGAGAGTCTAACTATTCTCCACACCTTCATTCAATCAACAAAAATCTCTCACCAGAGCTGGGTAAGCAAATAAAGACGACTCGGATACGGAGCTCGCCCGCGCGTGCGCCAGGCACCGCTCCAGACACCTGCACACGGGGCTCGCCTGCCCCAGGACAGCCCTGGGGGAGGTGTTCAGACGAGGAAGCTGAAGCGCAGAGAAACTGCGGGGGGGGGGCCTGAAACCTGGCGTGCGTCTCAGGAAGTCTGCGACCTCAGCCCTGTGCCCCGGCCTCCCAGGGGCAGCGAGACTGACAGAGACACGAGCAGGTGGGGCAAGAGACACGATTCCTGCCTTCAAAGAAGTACCGGCCTGGAGCGGGCGGGGGGAGGGGGGGGGACCAGTGACTTCCAGGAGGGGGGTCGGGGAAGCACGGTGCTAGGAAGGAAGGGCCATTTGGCCGGGGCCGTGAAGGAGAGGCTGAGCGAGACTGCGGAGAGCCGCAAAGGGGGCCACGCGAGGCAGAAGGAGCAGCGGAAGCAACGGCGAGGGGGGCCGAAGGGAGCCGGGAATGTCAGGGCCACAGAAAGCAGTGTGACCGAGCAGAGCGGAGACGCAGAGACAGATGCCCCTGGAGCAGCGGGCTGGGGGCGGGGTCTGGAGTGCACCGAGCACCACGCTATCTGTGAGCTGCCTTTGTTGGGGACTGAGCGTCGAGGAAGGGGCGTGATCCAATGATGCTTCTAAAAGACTCCCCTAACTGAAAAGGTAGGCCAGGGATTCAAAAACTGAAGATGAATTCTACTATACTGTCTTCTACATACAGAAGTAGGGAGGACTGCTTGCATTCTAAAGTACCTGACAAAAATCACAATTATCATCATCATCATGTTTTGAAAACTTTCAAACTTACCACTAATGCAGAGGAGCACATGCCAAAAGACAGAACACATCGTAAATTAAGCCGATCCCCAACAATACCGCTGATGAAAAGGCCCTAAAAACAAAGCATTTAATTTTACAGCCCTGCATAACAACAGGCGGAAAAAAAAGAGGCATTGCAAACCAATGAGGCAAGCAATATACTGAGATTACTTCAAATCAAATCTCATTTTCATGCCTAGACAAGCTGTCTGTATCAGTTTCACAAATGTGTCATGAAACGACACCTGGGCTTCTGCACAGCTCACGCACTGAGACAGCATAATTCAGTGCAAACCTGGGTTCTACTTGATCCTCTAACCGCCTAAATGGAGACTGAAAAAAAAAAGACCCCAAGAATTATCCCGATAAAACAAGAACATAAATACATTTCATTTTCTAGAATAGATTAACTCCTAAACATCAGTCATCCGCCTTCCCCAAGGGGTTCCTCTTAGCTATTTGCATTCTGAATGAAGATGTGTTCCAGCATGCCCTACAGAACAGAAGCTTCTAGAGCACAGGTGCTGCCTGTTTAATGTGACCCTTGGGCTTCATGACATCACAAGGCAGGAGCCCAGGGAGGCAGAGGCAATAATTAGGTGAACTTGGGTACAAATGCTCTGCCTCCTGCTCTCCTCCCACGGAGCAGCAGCAATTAAAATGCTCAGACCATGGCAGCGAGCAGACTGAAGAGCTAAGGGCAGCGCACTTAGGGTTCTTCCACAAACATGTGAAATGTATGAGAGTCCTTACTGAAAGTCTAAGTTCTGATGTAAGTTTTTCTAATAAACTATCTATGCCAGAGAAAATTTACATGATAAATGTCACAATAACCGTTCCTCCCTCATTATCGACAAGCTTTCACGACCTCAAAAGAGGCACCTGCGAGCGCTGGAGGAGATGTCACGTTCCGTAGCTGCTGCTCACAGTCTTCGGCTAGGGACTCCAAAGGGGGTGAGGAAACTGTCTCAGTCACGCTTCGGAGCCGGGGTCTGTTTGCCCTGAGCTGCTCCAGCCGCCTGCACAACACCCAGGGGTCAGGGGAGACGCCGCAGCTCCCCGTGGGGGCCACAGCCAGCGACTGTTCCCAGCACTTAGGTTTCACCTCCTAAGCCTATCTGACCCCACAGACAGGCACCACCATCCAGCTCCGCAGATGAGGAAACTGAATATCAAAAAAAGGTCAATGCCAGTGGGGCGGCAAGGTTAACACAGCCTGCTGGCGGTGGTAGAACTGGTTTTTCCACTAGGCTCCACTGCTTCTTAAAATGCTTCATAAAAGCTGCAGGCAACTCCAGATGACCACATGCTGGGATTCTGTATGAAAATGCCCAGAGTGAGGAGCTGGGGTACAGGATCTAAGATCTGTTTTGACCTTTTCTATAATTTTCCTCTTTGAAAAAAAAGTCTCCTAATTACCCAAATAAGCATTTAGAGACTACTTTGGGACTTTCACCCAGTATTCCACATCACCTGGATGTTCAAGCTTAAAAGGCTTTTGTTAGCACTGGACACATCTTCAAGACAGAAAACAAGATGCCGGAGAGAACAGGTCAGACTGCTTCCACAGCGCCCAGTCCCAGATGCTGCCACCACAGGCCCCCCCAACTCTCACTCAGCAGCCACCTCGGGCGTCCCCTAAAGGCAGACACTCGGGCCGCCCAGTCCTCCAACAGACTCAGCCCGGCCATCCCAGCCTGGCTCCCGGAGCGCCACCTTCCCGATGCTCCTGCTCCCGCCCCGCGCAGTCCCAGCCTCCTGCCCCGTCTGCGTCTTCCCGCCTCTAAATGCTGGGAACCCCCCACTCCATCTTCACACTCCTCCTCTACCCCCAACTCTCTTGATGATGTCACCCAGTCTCATGGCTTTGAAAATCAGGTACATGCAAAGGACTCTGAATTCTGTACCTCCAGCCTGAACATCTAGACACACTGACCTTACCTCCCCACTTCAGGTCTTGGTTCAAATACCCCCTCGTCGGCGAGGTTTCTCCAGCCACCCTATTTAAATTATACGCCTCCCGAGGTCTCCAGTCCCCTTCCCCTGCTTTAGTTTTCTCTGCCACGCTCACCATCTTTAAACATACTTTATGATTTACTTATTTATTGCATTTTGTTACTGCTTGTCTCCCAGCCCCCACTCCAAGAACAGAAGCTTTACGAAGGTAGGGGCCTTTCCTGTGTTGTCCACGGATGAATTCTCACTGACCGGAAAGGCACCTGGCACATGCTTGTGCTTGTCGACTTGAACAGAAGTGCTTGTCGAATGAATGGATGGATGAGGACGCAAAACACACGCTTCAGCCAATACTGATCTTTCCTCGGTCAGCAAATTCACAATCTCTTAAAAAACTGGGGAGTTCCACAACTTTCTTTTACACCTTTTACATCTTTCTTTAAAAACCCTGGGATTCCACAACTCACCACGGCATAGGAGAAGAGGAAAAGAGTGTCCAGGGTCCCGAGGAAAAGAGTGGCTTCCTCGGCGCCGGGAAACAAACGGTTGCGGCTCCAGATCTGCGGAAACACAACGAGAACCGGTCAGCCCCGCGGCACCTGCTCGCGCTCGCGTCTGTCAAGCGCCTTCACGCGCAGCCCCGGCCCACCCGCACAGAAGCCCGGCGATGCTGAAGCAGGCCCTGTGCAGAGAGGAAGCACACACACACGCACACACAGTCAGAACTGTTCACACAGTACAGCAGCCCCCTCCCTTATCCACGGCTAAAACCATCACGTGACACAGCAGCCCCCTTATCCACAGTCAGAACTGTTCACATAACACAGCAGCCCCCCCTTATCCATGGTTTTGCTTTCCACAGTTTCAGTTACCTGAGGTCAGCCGAGGCCCAAAACATTACAGTACTCTGAGGGAGACGAGAGGGAGGAGGAACCCACATGCAAGCACGAGTGGTGGGAGGGAGGGAGGGACAGAAAAAGAGAGAGACCACATTCACATTTTTCCAAATGATAGCTTATTCCTATTTTTAAAGATTTTGTTTGTTTATTTATTTATAGAGAAAGGGGAAGGGAGGGAGAGAAACATCGATGCAGGGTTGCTTTTCAACCACCCCCTTCCGGGGACCTGGCCTACAACCCAGGCATGTGCCCTGACTGGGAATCAAACCCATGACTTTTTCCTTCGCAGGCCAGCACTCAATCTACTGAGCCACACCAGTCAGGGCTCACATAACTTTTATCACAGTGTACTGTTGTAACTGTTCTACTTTATAACTAGCTATTATTGTTGACCTGTTACTGGGCCTAGTTTCTAAATTAATCTTTATTAGAGGTATGTATATGTAGGAAAAAGCACTGAATATACAGGGTCCAGTACCACCCGCAGTTTCAGGCATCCACTGGGGTCTCGGGACGTGCCCCCTGGAGATGAGGGCACTGCTGTACTGAAAGCCACTTCCTTCTCCCTTTAACTTTCCCACCGGTGGCGCACGAGCTGCGGAGGGTGAAACGCCGTGCTCCGGCGTGGACCAAGCAGTCACACCCGTCGGCGCTGCATTAATCACTGTGTTCTTTGCTGCCTCACTCCCAGTAAACAAAAGTCAACTTCACTTCAGAATGTCCTTGACGAAGCAGTAAAAATTGCTCACTGTATTGGAGCCGGCCCGAGGAGCCTACTTCCACTGCGCGGTGTGACGGAGTGGGAGAGGCGCACCGGCACCCCACGCACCAGAGAGGGGCCAGTGCCGGGGGAGCCGCAAGCGGGACGCCCATTCTACTCGAAAGGGCGACTGACAGACAGGGTGCCCAGTTCTCAGGATCTGAGTATCTGGCAGATTGGAGAATCCGGCAGATATTTCCTCAAAAAAGAATGAAGCCAGACTGTCACTTTGAGATTCATTTAAAGTACAAGATAGACAAATGGATCTTAATGTAGGGTTCCAAAAAGTTAATTGATACAGTTTCAGATTCCACATTGCAACTACCCTTTAAGAAATTGTCACTTGTCAAATTCTGGTGTAGTTATGAAAGACAAACACCTACAATTAACTGAATAGGCTGTTAAAATACTTCCCCCTTTCCCACCATGTATGTGTGGAAGCCCAACTCCCTCTGGAGACCTGAAAGGATCATGCTGCAAGAGGCTGAATTCAGGAGCAGACATGAAAACCCATTGTCTTCTACTCAGCCAGACATGAAGGGATTTGCAAAAATGTGTCAATCAATGCCATTCTTCTCATTACGTGATTTTTTTTTGTCTTGAAAAAGTCATTTTTCCTAAAATGTCATTCATGTTAACATGTTTTGGGTTAACTTACTCATTTGAAAATTATTTTAAAAACTAATGTATTCTTTCAACTTCTCAGTTTTTATTTCTAGAACAGTAAATACCTATGAACATTAACCACATAACCAAAAAGTTCACAAACTGCTAAACTAAATGATTTCTGAGCTGGATTGGTAAAGAAGGGAAATTTTCACTTAAGAATAGTAAGAAGAACCTGGCCGGTGAGACACAGTGGACTGGGCACCGGCCTGTAAACCTAAAGGTCACCGGTCTGATTCCTGGTCAAGGCACATGCCCGGGTTGCAGACCAGGTCCCCAGGTGGGGGACGTGCTAGAGGCAACCAATCAGTTTCTCTCCCTCTCTTTCTCCCTCACTTCCCTTTTCTCTGAAAATAAGTTAATAAAATCTTTAAAAAAATAGTAAAAAGAAAAATCATAATAAGCAATTAAAAAATCATGCATGTTTAAAAAAAAGTAAAATCCCAAATTGTAAGAGAATATATACACATGATTCTGAAGTCCTGGGACTCACGTCTGGGTGGCCCGTGCGCCAGTCTGCTAACTCGGACAAACCTCAGGCGCTGCTTTCGGGACGGGCAAGAAAGCGGCTCACACAGCGGGATGGACCAGCGTTTCTGGGGGCCAGGCGGGGCCCTAAATGTCTCCAGCTGGGCATTCTGCCACATCTTCCCTCCAACCACAATCTCTGACCCCTGATGTCCTCTGGGCTCAACCAGACCCAGGATTAGGCCCCGCTGGACACACACCCGTGTGACCGAGAGACCCGGTGCCGGAAGCAGCTGCTGCCAGTTCAGGGTTTTCTCTACTTCGCGAGAAGCCGGCAAACTCCCACAGGTGTGGCTTTCCCAGGAACTGACCCGTGGGGCAAACAGCTTTTTTCTGCTTCACTGCCAGAATTCAGCTGAAATACATTTCTGCTTGCCTACTTTAACAAGAGTAAACCAAACAGTACCAGGAACTAAAACAACAAAGTACGCCTAACAAAAAAGGTTCAGAAAGCAGGTTAACAGTAAAAAGCCTATGAAGAAAGTCTGTCAACAATACAGCTCCGACCAGGACGACTCTACCGGCAGGTGAGAAACGGCCCAAGTGCACACAGGGCTTGTCTGACGTCTACTCAAAGTCATCTACAAGAGTGACTCTAAGCGCTCCAGCTAGCCTGCCAGTACGCACGGTCACCACGGGAATGCACCTGCCCACATGCGTGCAGGGCTCTCTCGGGCTGTGGGGGCAGGAGCCTGACTAACCACTGCAGCTGCTACTTCCTGCAAGCGTGACATTGTGGGCACAGTCAAAAGGTCACGGCGAGAATGTCGGTCCCCGGGTGAGGGCTGTGCACGGAGGTGCGGGAACTACTGACACGGAAGAGCTTCCTGCTGCACAGAGGGCGCGCCCAGGCGGCCTGGTCGGGGTCTGCTCCCCGTCTGGGGTGGCAGTCTGAGGGACGGCAGCTGTGGATGAGGACGAGGCTGAGACGGTGCCGAGCACACCCTGAGCCCTGCTTCTGCTTCCCTCTCCTGGAGGGAACATCAGGCCCTCTTACGCTCTTCTCAGGGAAGGACTAGACTGCCTGGAGAGTAAGACTTTCTAACAGAATAAATTTTTGTTTACCATTTTCAGCCAAGTTGTCCTCAAATACTAGATTTAACCACTACCTCTTTATTATCTATAAACATAGATTTCACACTATTCCCACTTAATATTCCTCCAGTGCTTGTCCATGTCAGTGGGATCCATTATAAATTCTTAAGGTATAGAGACTGTGTCTGCTTAACTTTTGTGAAGTGACTAAGGTAGCTATGCATAAAAACAAAAACTATAGTAAGTACTTTTTGAGGATGCTGTTTAAGGAGGTTAAGAAATGTTTACCAACATGTATAAACAAAATCCTTTTCAGAGCTCAGACTCGTTTTACACATACTTCTGGCACTAAGTACCTTCCACCCTGGACAAGAAAGAGCCTCAGAGGGAAGCTAGGGTGAGGGCGCCACAGACCCGAAAGCACAGGAGGCTGGAGGGCGCCTGCTGCCCCAGCCCCTGCACGCCCCACAGTGGGCTTAGGAACACAAACCCTGCTCCTGGGCGTCTGAGGCAAGCACTGCTCTCCACGAGGGTGAGGGCAGGGGCAGATCTCTCTGGAAAAGTCAGCTCTCTGGAGTACGTAGCTCTCTGGAAGAGTCAGTGCTTGACTCCTGCGTAATCCATCCACACTACTTAATCAGAGCTCTGAACCACCGGAATGGTGAAACCTATTTTAGCAGCAGATACTTTAAGTAAGTATCCAAGCAGAAAAATTATTGCAAGTTCAAAACCAGCTCATAAAGTAACAAGGTTCCTGGAAGGAAAAGAGTTAACACAGCAGGGCTGAGACTGCTATCCTTAAGAAGACCTACTTGCCCTGCAGTCCGCAAACCTGGATCCCCGGAGGTTCCCATGATTCCCTGCTGGGACCGGCGGCCATGCCTACACTGTAGCAAACAACGTGGTTTACGCTTCACACCTGCTTTCCTTCTGGGGGTGTGGCATTTTCGTCCGTGCCAGGCAGAGAGCACCCACGTGACCAGCCCCAGTAAAAACCGGGGCACCATGACTCTCCCCTGGGATTCCCCTTTCGTGCTGGAAGCACGAAGCACGTCCCGTGTGTCTGCTGGTTTCCTCCGGCCTCACCCTCTGTGCCTGTCCCTTTGATGACTCTGTTCTGCATCCTCTCGCTGTAACCAAGCACCGCCCTGAGTGCAACTACAGCTGAGTCCTGTCGGTCCTCCCAGGGAATCGTCAACCTGGGGGTGGTCTTGGAGGCCCCCACCCAGTCGCCTGAAACACAAAGCCAGCCTCAGCAGTACAACCAGAAATCCAGGGCCTAAACCAAACCCTATTAGGCTGTACGTTGGTCAGACTGTACCTAAAATACCACAGTTAGTGCTCAGTGCCACAGAACCGCAGCTGAGGGGGCCAGGGATATTCTACCTAGACAAGAAAAACCCAGGGAGACAGGTTTTCTTCAGCGATTCTACAGGCCATCGGTCAGTGGGAACACTTAGCATGCATGGCTCCAAACTAAACAGCAGCCCACTTTCACCGCAACAGAAGAAAGAACTTCCTAAAAATGAGAGGTGGGAAAAAAATGTAATTGTCCACCTCAGAAAGCAAGAAGTTTCTTCTCCCTGCCAGTTTTAAAAACAGAAGCTGGACAGTCAGTCATCTTTCAGTGGCCACAAAGATTCCACACTGGCACACGAGCCCTCTAAGGCCAGCCCCTCCGGAAGGTCTGCGACCATCACTGGAGGTGCTCGGTATGCGCACAGCACTAGTCAAGCAAGTATCCGTTGGAAATCCAGCCCTCTGTTGTATCTCCTTAAAGATTTTATTGATTTATTTTGTGAGAAAGGGGAAGGGAGGGAGGAAGAAAGGGAGAGAAACATCAATGTGTGGTTGCCTCTCGCACGCCCCCTACTGGGGACCTGGCCTGCAACTCAGGCATGGGCCTCGACTGGGAATTGAACCTGCGACCCTTTGGTTTCCAGGCTAGCACTCAATCCACTGAGCCACACCAGCCAGGGCAAGCCCTCTGTTTTTAACATCTTTCCTCTTAAAAGTTCCTGATAAGTTAAATTCAAGAGAAATGGTTCAGGAGCATCTCCATGCTAGAATGCGAGCATGAGGACAGGCTCTTTTTTTTTTTTCTTTAGTCCTCTAGGCTTTTATTTTTTGTATCCTAGTGCCTAGAATAGACTCACAATAAGCAACTGACTGAGTAACTTATTTATATTTTGGGGACAGAGTCACATAACCTCCAAATCTGTCAACTTTAAATTGGTCCAAATTTTGCCCTGGCTGGTGTGGCTCAGTAGCCTGCTAATCAAAGGGCAGCCGGTTCGATTCCCAATCAGGACACATGCCTGAGTTGCAGCCCAGGTTCCTAGTAGGGGGTGTGCCAGAGGCAACCACACATTGATGTTTCTTTCCCTCCCTCTCTCCTTCCTTTCCCCTCTCTCTAAAAATACATACATGCATAAAAATAAAATAAATTGGTCCAAATTCTGGTAGGTGGGAAGAAGGCGAAAGAGCATACCAAATAACACGAGCAGAATCTCCAAGGCCGAAATGAGCACAGGACTCGTGAAACTCAATGAGAAAACGGCGAGCCAGAGTGTGTGATTTCAAAGCAGTGAGGAATAAGCTGGCGGGAATGGTACTGAATCAGGGCAGGCTAAGAAACTGGGCAGAAGAGTTTGGATTTCCTGCCACAGGAAACAGGAAGCCATTTCCGAGTCCTAAGCAAGTGAATGAAACAAAGCAGAAGAACTGCAGAGGAATCCAGAGGCGGGCACGGCTCCCGTCGTAAACCCATCCCAGCAGCACGTTGTTCTGCTCACCTCTGCAGGTTCAACGGATCTGTTGAGCGCAGTCGGGGTCCACTGCTTGGAGATGCTGACTTTGACATTGCTAAATGTCTTCCTTGAGGCATGGAGCAACGAGTAACTACAAAAGAGAAGGACAGCTGGATGAATAGCAAAGAAAATGGCATTCAGTAATATCACAGATGTGTTCCTACTTGTTTTATTCAAATTTAGAATTCTTCTGTTTAAAAAAAGAGAAAAGTACTGCTTTTTAAGGACTACCAACTGTTAGTTAGAAACAGTCTCTGTTAAGCAAAATAAATAAATAACTAGTGTCTTCGATACAAGCCCCCAAATTCAATCGTAACTTATCCCTGGACCTAGAAGGTGGAGATGTGACTCATCCCGACCCACTTTAAATTATGGTTTCAGTTCTGTAAAAAAATAAAAAGCTTAAGTCTTTAGCGAACAGTGGCTGGTCACTGCACGAGCCATGCCGTAGCTTCTCCTTCGGCTCCTGACTTGTCCTCACACTGCTGCCCCCCCACCCCTCACAGATGGGTATCCCCCAAACCAAGCACACGAAACTGCCTGTCAATTCTCACGTACTCACAGAACCATCTTCTTAATTTCTACCTTAAAATAAAACAAACAAAAAAACCCATCATGCTCATTTTTGGTACCTTCAATAAAGAAGAAAATCTATTCAGAAGAAGTCATCAAAACAGCGGACTCCCAGGGTTATGAATAACACGCCCCGAACACCAAAAGGCCACTGAGGCCGCTGACTCATACACAGGGACAGTTCTGCAGTCGCGCTGGCTGGCCAGGGGTCGCCCCCGAGTAAGCAGGGCTCCTCACCACCGCCTGCTACCACTCTCACTGCCCCAGGAGGCGGAGGGCAGTCCCTGAATGTGCCCTTTGTTCCCGGGCTCCCGACTTGAACAAATAGAGGACTTTATATTAGATCAGGTCTTCTCAACCACAGAACCACTAACATTTCGGGCCCCCAAAATGGTCTGTTGTGGGGGGTTGCCTTGTGCATTGTCGGATGTTCAGCAGCATCCCTGGTCTCTGCCCACGAGATGCAAGCGGCATGACAACCAAAAGTGTCTCCAGACAGTGCCAAATACAGGCCAAACCGCCCCCCAGAGCTACTGTGCTGGAGCTACGGAAAAGTACAGGATGAGGAACTAGTCTGTTTCACTGTAGGCCCACCAGTTCCTGCTACTAGGAAGTATCTCCCGCCAAGGCAGAACGGCGCCCAGAGAAGAGCTGCAGCAGCCCGCTCACCTGAAGAAGGTGAGCAGGAACACGGCGACGTGGTGGTGGCTGAGCCGGGACAGGAGAGCGCCTCTGTGGAAGAGGTCTGGCCACGCCATGTTCTCCCGGACCTCCTCCTAGCCTCTGGCCTTCAAGTCTGGATAGTGAATGATCACACCATTTCTTCCTGCTGGAAAAGCAAAACACGGTATTAACACTACTCAAAGCAGGCAGATTAACCAAACTGAACTATTCAGACGTGTAACCATTCAGCACATGATCAGGCCTTGAAAGAAAAACCATGTGGGCCTGCTGACCCCAGGTGGATAATTATATTTTAGAGCAGTTAGCTAGTCCTTAAAAAAAAAAAAAAAAGAAATCCTTGACCAAAAAGTACACCCTAACAGAAAGAACTCTCATACACACGGATTTTAAAGCAATTAGTGAAATTTAAAAATCACTGTTAACAGAAAAAAATGAGCAAAGGAAGTGAACAGTCAACTCAGAAGAAATGAAACAGCGATTTCACTTACCAAATAAAAGTTTCAACCTCACTAGTAATGTAAGAAACGGGAATGAGGGCAAGAGAACGTTTGCACAGTGAAAACAGAGGGAGGCCAAGGCAGCTCAAGGTCCAGTGATCTCCGAATTCTTGCACAACGCCGATGGAAGTGAAAACCAGCACAGAACTACAGGAAGACAGTCCAGCCAAGTTCATCAACAGCCTTTGACACAAACATTTAATTTCCAGGGACCTGTTCCTACAGAAATACAAGATGCGTTCGGGTCTAATAAACAAAGGTAGTTTCAGGAAGCGTCAAAGGAGCTTTCTTATTGCAAGGAGATGAACTGGACTCCGTCATGAGGGGACGGGGAAAGCGGCAGGGCATGCCGGTGCCGCCCCCCCCCCCACCTGCAAGGAGGACCCCCTCGGAAAGCTGCACCCGGGCTCCCACAGCCCAGGGTAACAGAGCAAAAAGCAAGCATCTCAACTTAATGTCTCTAGTATGAGTCTGCAGAAACAATCTCAATGTGAAATAAGAGTGGAATGATTAAACTACTGTATCTATATGACCATTTTATAATAATTTAACAAGACGAATTAACTTTTTAGTAATATGAGAAAATGTCATATAAAAAGTAGGATATGACATAATCCCCTCTATGTTTACATAATATTTACAAATAAATAGGGAATATGCTAGTTCTCCTTAGGTAGTAGGATTATGGGTAAATGTAAATCTTCTATGTACTTTTCTAAAAATTCTACAATAAATGTGTATGTTACTACTTTTATAATCAAGAGGGAAACATCACAGCACCGGAAAAGTCCTACAATTGACCTGCACTGTGAGGAAAAAATTAAACTAAGTTAACGAAGTGACTCGTGTGATAAACACACTGTGTCGAGGCAGGAGACAAACTCCAGAGCTCCCGGCACTCAGACGAGCGAACCGCAGGGCTCAGCCTCCCAGGCCGCACTCCCGTCTGCACCCCCGTCTTCACCAGCCGCAGCCTGGCAGACGGATCCAAGCCCTGATGCTGAGAGACCCAGGCCGTTCTTAACAAACACGACATTCGTCTCCCTTACTGGCTGCGAGCCCCTGAACAAGCCCATCTCTGTGAATTGCAGGTGGTCTTCTGGGCAATGGCCTCTCTTCTAACAGTTATGTGTGGCTAACATAAACAATGTACGCAAGGAATTAAGATAATTATTTTAGCCATGGATCCGCCCAAGATTAATCCCACATCACCAGAAAGGAGCTAACTTCATTTACTCTCGTTCTCCCTGAGAAAATGTTAACAAGATTACGAGCTGGGTAAGACTATAAAATTCCATTTACACAATGCAACAAACTTTCTGTCTGTAATTCCAGGAAGTTTACACAATGCAACAAACTTTCTGTCTGTAATTCCAGGAAGTTTAAAACGGAGAGCTATTAGTGTTACTGCTAAATTTACCTGCATCCCTGAACATTAAACATGAAGTCCAAGTGGAACAAGCAGAAGCTTTAGCCGTTCTTTATACAGCAAGCACCTCTCTCTGAACGCATTCACACCTCGAAACACTGTGCTGAGTTCTTCGGGAAAGGCTATGGATTATGAAATTCAGTGATTTGTCAGGGGAAGTCATTCCAAAGACGTACGCTCCGAGAGACTCGGATGGCATCGCCTCAGCAGTGACGGGATGGCTGTGTGCTTCGGGACTGTCCAGTTACTTTCACAGCTTTCATGGCTAACAAGCTGCTTGAGGCCATCTGAATTTCATTTCTAAATAAAATACCTTTTCCTTGGCTACAGTGATGGGGGAGAAAAGGCTTAGTAAGTACGTCGGGAAAATGGTTTTAAACACTCACTTGCTGTCGGCAGCATGACTTTTGAAAGGAACATTATTATAACATCTGGTCCTATGCGATGCTAATAAACTAATAAAAATAATACCTTGCCCTTCTATACTCTCCATCACAGGAGTGGCTTCTAATCGCCTGTGAGCTCTGGGAGCCGCGGAAAAACAGAGTCTTCGCCAGGCCCGAGCCCAACCTGCACACCTAACTTCCTGAAGGCCCTTTTCTTTCCTGCTCCAAACACACGCTGAACACATGTCTTAAATTCTTCAAGGGTATGTACATGCTGTTCTAATTAATAAAGTCAAAATATTTTAAGTAGCTTGAATTCACAGTAGGTTGTCATTTAGTATTTTCTTAATCAATGGACACTGAATGTACATACAACTATAATGAGAACAAGAATTATCTTTTAAAAGAAAAACAAACTAAAAATGAGATCCTTGCCATCGAAAAGGATCCAGAACCACTGAACCATGTTTTACTTCTCAAAGCAAGTTCAAGATCACTAACTTGTCTGGTTCGTAATGAAGCTCGTTTTGGGTTCTAGAAGATTGTCCATACATGGTATGTTCCAGAGTGGAACACACTGTGTGATCCGTGTCGAACGAAAGATGGTCTTGCATGGAACATGTCCAGACAGAAGGCAATCTCCTCCCCCTTATACGCACTGCCTTGGAACACAAAAGACTCTAAAATTTTTACTTTCTATAGATGCTTAGAGTCCATTCCAACCCAAATAGTACAACTCAAAGCTGTCTCGTATTAAACAGACTGTGGGACAAGCAGACCACACAGTGGGAAGCGGAAAGACTGGCAGGAAAGGTGACGACCTACGTGCAGCGTCCAGCATGCCCCTCAGGTGGCCCCGCCCTCACCCACCCCAGCCTGCTGCCAGGCGCTCTGGAAATCCAGACGGGGAGGGGTTAATAACCTTTGTCATGTTGCAGCCAACTCCAGCCTGCCCCAAAAAACCCCACTTCCTCTGAGGTCTCAAGGAAAAGCAAGCTTTCTTATCCTTGCAAAACCCCGGCTTCTTTGAAACTCATGCCCTGGGCTTTGCGGCCACTGTGCTGACAGCTGTCACCGTCTGCCCTGTCACTGCAGAAGGCTCCCTCCTCCCCACCACCGCTACATCTCCTTCCACGCCCACGGGTGATCCAACTTGTCCCTGTCCTCTTCACACCACCAACCTTTTCCTCTCTCCCACGGTACAAAGCCACTCGTGGTCAAAACCTGGTCCCTGTCACCCCCAGTAACTGAATCACCGCCTCAAACTGGATTTCAACATCCTTTCCTTGCAGAAAACTGCTCACTCTCCCATTCTCCACTCCGACAGTCAGACAGTCATCTCACCGCAGCGAGACCTCCAGCTTTCCCGGTTTCCGGCCACCTCGCCAGTTTCTCATTATCCACCACCCTCCTCTTGTCCTCACTTCCTCCTGCACCAACTCAGAATCTGAACTATGTGATTTTATTGTCGCTTGCCTGTCCTCCTTCGCTGTGCCCCAGCAGCGGAGTCTTGCCAGAGACAAATCACACGTGCCGCTGGTTTCCCTCTTTAGATTCAAAACCACAAACCTCAGAGAGCGTGCAACACTGCCCAGCGCGTCTCCACTTCCCTAATCGTCTTCGCTTTCTCAACCTCCCCGACGGCCGGTTCGCACTCCTCTCCTCCCACCTCCAGCATGCTCTCGCCCCTCTTCCACCTGGAGCCACAGCTTTCTGCCCGCGGCTCCCAGGCCAAGGGCCCTCAGACACTCCCGGGTTCCCGGCAGTACAGCCAACCCGGCACAGGACATCCCTCCCTCCAAGCCGAGAACTCCCCACCCCGCCCCACCTCCACGAATGGCCTCACCGCGGCTCCAGGTTGCCCAAGGTGACCCACTCGGCCTTACCCTTCGTTCCTCCTTTTCTCTCAGCTTCCACATACAACCCCCTACTAAGCCCAGTCCCTACAACCTCCTGAACACATCCCAATCCCACCCTTCCCCCTCCATCCCCACAGTCACCACGAAGATAAACTGCCCGCACCTCCCACCAAGCCGACCACTCGGCCTCCAGCAGGGCTCCGCTACTTCTACCTGCTCCCCGCCCCCAGCACCATTCTCCCCACGGCAGCCAGGAATGTGCCCTAAAGCACACATCAGCTGTCACTCCTCGCTTCACAGGCTTCACACGCTGCCACGGCTTCCCAAGACTCAGATAAAAACACGCGACTCGCTGCCACGACCTCCCAAGCCCGCATACCCCAGTCCCCTGGAGTAAAGCAGGAAGGTTAAGGGTGGGGGGCAGTCGAGCTGACAGCTGGGGTTCACAGAGAAGGGCTAAGGATGAAGGAGGGGGCTGCCTGAGCAATAACTAGAGTGGGCTTAGTTTTGTTTAAATTATTAGTTTTCTTCATTTTTTAAAAGATTATCTATTTATTTCCAGAGAGAAGGGAAGGGACGGAGAAAGGAAGGGAGAGAAACATTCATGTGTGGTTGCCTCTCGTGTGCCCCCAACTGGGGACCCAGCCCGCCACCCAGGCACGTGCCCTAATTGGGAATGGAAACCACCACCGTTTGGTTTGTCAGCCGGCGCTCAATCCACTGAGCCACACCAGCCAGGGCTAAATTATATCAGTTTTCAATATGTTCTGTATGACTAAGGTAGAAAGTTCAAAAGACACCAAAGGTGCACAGTGACACCTCGCTCCCTGTTCTTGTCACCACATGCTACCAGTTTCCTCTGCTTCCTATACTCTCCATGCACAGCCCTTCACACTCACAAATGCACAAATGGCACATGACACGCGCTATTTGCACCAGTTTTTTGCCTTCACTTATCAGGGGCCGGGGGTCTGTCCACACCTTCACCTGCGAAGCTGTTGCATCCCAGTCTATGGGACCTCTGGGCGGCCCCCGGCCCTTTGCCAGGGTCTACACAGAGAGGTGCCTGCACACTCACTCCCACCTCCCCACACTTAATCCCTTTCTTGTTCTTGAACCCACCGAGCCCCTTCTTGCTCCGAGCCTTTGCATTTGCTGTGTCGCAGCCTGAAACGCTTTTTCTCCTAGTACTTTGCAAGCGGCTTGCTCTTTCCTTTTCTCGGCTTGTCGTCAAGAGTCATCTTCTAGGGTGATTTGCCCAGATTGCCCTATTTTAAATGGTCTTCCTCGGCCCTGGCCGGGTGGCTCGGTTTGTTGGAACGTCATCCCCTACACCGAAAGGTTGTGGTTTGATCCCTGGTCAGGGCACGTACCCAGGCCGCAGGTTCCAACCCTTGTCGGGACACGTTCAGGAGGCAACCTATCAATGCCTCTCTCTCGCTCCTTTCTTTCTTACTTCCTTTCTCTCTTTTTCTCTCCCTGCCACCCCCTCTTCCTCTCTCTCTAAAAATGGATAAATATGTCCTCTGGTGAGGATTAAAAAATAATAATAAATAAATAAATAAAATGAGTTCCCTCAGTTACTACCCGTCTTTTTTCTGTTTCTTCCCTCACAGCATTTCTCCCAATCTAACTATCCAGTTTAATTTTGCATGTGTGCTGTTCACCTTGAGCTCCATAAAAGCAACGGCCTTATCTGTCTTAACTGCACGGCTCTATCCCCAGCACCTAGCCGGGCATCTGGAACATTCAGTAAAGCTGTTTTGAATGAATGGTTCTTTTGACTGACGGCCAATAGAGAACGCTTCCGCAGCGCCAGGCGCTGTGCTGGGTACTTGGCCAGGCATTACTGCATTTAGTTCTCACGGCTTCTTACAGCTGAGAACAGATTTTACAAAGTAGTATCTTCCTCTCCAGGGATGCAGTGAACATTCAAACCCAGACCTGACGCCAGCCCCTACGTTATACGGTACAGGAGGGAAATGCGGTAATTGGAAACATTCCACTTTAAACTGGGAGATCTAACCCCAGGACGGGGGAAATGCACCTGACTGGTAACAGTGGTTCCCTTCCACACTACCCTGTAATGAGAGGGCACCAGGTGGGCAACCCCTTCACTCCCCAGGTCCAGTTTTCACCTTCTCGAAGTACGAAGACTGTGTGTGCTCACAGCACATGACCCTCTCTCCCATCCGCTGGCTGTTCACCGAGTCCCCGGCTGGGCACTAGGAGACGCAGGTGAGTATTAAGAGGACACTGAGTTCACCTCTTTCCACAGGACTGTGCGTGCTGAGGCTTAGCACCCAACGCTTGACACTTAAGTATCTTGTCCCACATTATCTGTCACATTTGAAGCCATTTACCTGCACCACACAAATCCTTTTATTCAAAACCCAAGTTTTCCTGCAACTGTTCTCTCTTCTGCAATTGTTCCATTACCGCACATGCAAAATACCCGGCACTGATTGGTAAGACTCTCTCATCTTATCCCAGGGTTCCCAAAGCACAGTCTTCCTGCCTACTTGGAATGCATTCCAAAGACAACAATTTTCAAGATAAAACCTTACCCTCCCCTAGACAAACAACGTAATGGCCACCACTGTGGCAGCTCATCATCACCAGTGAAGAGGGACAAACAGAACCTTCAGCAACACACGTGACGCCGGCAGCGAGCGGGCAACCAGACACGGCGCTGGCTTTACTGGTCAAGTCCTGTTTCTGGATCACCTTCTGACCGAGAGAAGGAGGATGTCATCGGAAGGCACACGTGGCCCACAAAAAGGCATAAAGTTCAAGCTGGAATCTAAGACCCTCCACTTAAATTCTGTGGTCCTCAATTTCCTTAGTTAAGGATCCAAAGAGATCATTTATAGAGAGGTGCTGGCGCAGAGCTGGGTGCGCAGTGAAGAGCCAACAACAGGAAAGAAGGCTGGTGAGCACAGGCAGGTCCTGGGAGAGCACCGCAGGCTGCACAGATGCTCCGCACCCTCTCCCCGAGTCTGGCCCTCCGCGTCTCTTCCCTCCAGCTGTTCCTGCGTTACAGCCTTTTATAACAAACCGACGATCTGTTTTGGTTTTGAGATTCAAGTATGCTTTTGAATTACTTGAAAGAAATAATAGCAGACTTCCAGTCAAGATAGAGGCATAGGCAAACACACTTAGCCTCCTCGGGCAACCACAGAATTACAACTAGACCTCAAAACAAGTAACACCCAGAACCGTCAGAAAGTCAAACTGCTCCTACCCTTTGTGACAGCAGGGATGGAACTGGAGAGCATTATGCCGAGTGAAATAAGCCAGGCGGTGAAAGACAAATACCATGTGATTTCACCTTTAACAGGAACCTAAACAACAAAATAAACAAACAAAATATAACCAAAGACATTGAAATAGAGAGCAGCCTGACAATTACCAGAGAGAAGAGGGGAGGGAATTTCAGGGGAAGATGGGAAGGGTTTACAGGAACAAGTATGATGGACACATGGACAAAAACTAGGGGTGGGGGTGGAAATGGGAGGGAGGTGGGGAGCACGGGGTGGGGTGGGCTGGGATGGGAGTAAAAGACAGAAAACTGTACTTGAACAACAATTAAAAATTTTAAAAAATAAAAAAATTAAAGTTCTATTAATAAAAAAGAGTTGAAAGTGAAAAAAAAAAAGAAAAAGAAAATCAAACTGTATGGAAGTCCGACAACCAAGGATTTAAAAAAGCCACATTCATCTAGACAGGTAGGAGGGGGGAGACATGGATAGTATTAAGGATAGTATTAAGTGCCTCTGGGACATCTCCAAACATACCAATATCTGAATCATAGGGATACCAGAAGAAGAAGAATAGCAAGAAATTGAAAACTTATTTGAAACAATGAAAGAAAACTTCCCTTAGCAAAGGAAATAAACATATAATTCCAGGAAACAGAGAGAGTCCCAAGCAAGCTGGACCAAAAGAGGACCGTAACAAGGCACATCATAATTAAAGTGCACAAGGTTAAAGATAAAGAGAGAATCTTAAAACAGCAAGAGAAAAGCAGAGAGTTACCTACAAAGAAATACCCGTAAGACTGTCAGCTGATTTCTCAAAAGAAACTTTGCAGGCTAGAAAGGACTGGCGAGAAGTATTCAAAGTGATGAAAAGCAAGGACCTACAACCTAGATTACTCCATCCAGCAAAGCTTTCATTTAGAATGGAAGGGCAGATAAAGTGCTTCCCAGGCAAGGTAAAACTAAAGGAATTTATCGTCACCAAGCCATTATTACACAAAATGTTAAAGGGACTTATTTAAGAAAAAGACCAAAACTATGAACATTAAAATGGCAACAAATACACAACTATCAACAACTGAATCTTAGGGAAAAAATTCAAAACTAAGCTACGCAAACCACCAGAACAGGACCAGAATCGTAGAAATGGAGATCACATGGAGGGTAATCAGCTGGGAGGGGGAAGGGGGAGAACAGAGGGAAAGGTGCAGGGACTAAGAAGCGTAACTGGTAGGTACAAAGCAGACAGGGGGATTCTGAGAATAGTAAAGACATGGAGAAGCCAAAGAACTTATATGCACGACCTGTGGACATGAACGAAGGAGGGGAACTGCTGGAGGGAACTGGAGTACCAGACGGAGGTGGGCAAAGGAGGATAAACTGGGACAACTGTAATAGCATAATCAATAAAGTATATTTTTAAAAAGTGAAATATAAACAATGAAATTCATCTGAGGATGTTTTATCAATGAACTTACATCTTATTTCTATGGTGAATGGTTATCATTATCATAGAAGACAGTGGCAAATGATCTTTAGGGCCCTTATCCTACTCATTTAGAGATGAGTAGGATAATTCACCTATTTCTATTTAAAATCGTTAATACGGAGAATAAAAATGAGAAAGACATAATTCAAGCCTAAAGGCACTGAAGAAGAAGGTGGCAATTAAGAATGAGATTTTGCCCGTCCCAGGAACATGTTCTCGCTACAAACATTTCAGTAGACGTTACCACATCACGCACGATCTTAACATTTCTGAAAGCCTCGAGGACACATTCCCATTGTCCTCTCTCTGTCAAAAGTGAGAATAAACAGACCACATCCTGCAAATGAGAATACTGAGGGAATGAGTAACTAATTTAACCCAATTCCTTGTCTGAGACCACGTTACCAAAAACCCAAACCCAGGACCTCCACCGACCTCCTTCCTTCCTCTTCGGTCTCTGCATGCTTTCCAAAAGCGTCCCCACCCTGCCTGGAAAGTATCCCTTACCTGGGTCAAACCACAAGGCTGCACAAGAGCCCCCGCCGCCGCCGCCGCGCGGGCCGGGCCCCCGACTCCCCCCTGGGCCCTCCCGGAGCCTCCGGCTGCAGTCCTCACCTGCCGCGCCAGGCCCCGCGGCACCCGGGGCCGAGAAGCCAAGCTACGCGGTAGAAGGAGCGTGTAGCCGGCCGCCCCCGAACGCGGCGCCCCACCCACCGGCCGCCGCCCTCCACATCTCCGCCTCGCCCCTCCAACCAGCCCCGCGGCGCCCCCACCCCGCCACCCCAAGCCGGACTCCGGCCCTTCTCCGCAGCTCGCGCACCCGAGACCCCAGTAATCGCTGCTCTCCGACCCGCCGCCCCCGTTCACTTCGCTCGGATCCGTTGCCTGCTGGCCGCCGCCGCCGCCGCCGCCGCCGCCGCCGCCACCTCACTCACGGCCCTGCGGCCAGGGTTTCCGGACGCCCACGTGACCTGCGCGGTCCCCGCCGCATGCTGGGAGTTGTAGTCCAACCGAGAGGGCTGGAGGGACTGGTGGGGTGGGGCTGCTTCCTTTTGCGGACAGAGAGGTCTCTGTGGACCTGGCTGCTGGGCGGGAATGGGGCGGGGGTCCCGTGGGGGTCCGTCCAGGAATGTTATGGGAAAACCAGTGAAGGAGAGATAGGATATAACCGGAGGAGGGGAAATGATGTATACATCACCTTTTTCTTTTTCAAAAAGCTTTATTACGCTCTTTGTTTTCATAGAAGCAACGTGTTGCTAAGTGTACCCGTGGCCTGCATAGACCTTGGATTGCTGTTTAATTAAATACCCATAGTCTACCACTGTCACTCACTGTTCTACGTCCCACCTCACCCGCGGAAACAGATAAACGAGTGTTCAGATCCTGGCAGCCTCGAGCAAAAATTAAAGGCCTTACAACACTCAACTTGGAACAAGTTTTCTCTGTTCTCCTGGGTTGCTTCCAACTGTTAAGGAAATACAATTGGGGGGTGGGGAGGGACAAGAAACTCCAACCCAGAAAACCTCTCCACAAGGGTAGTAGACTACAAAACAGGTTTATTAGTGAATAAGGTTTCATCCAGAATGGGGTGCATATCACAGGCAATGCGCTAAGATTGCAAAGAGAGAAAGGAATCTCCTTCTTACTCAGCCAAGCCTTCACAGCCAAGCCGGTACACGCCATTACGAGTGTGTTCTCAAGATAATCACTAGTCCTCCAATGAGAGGACTCTACAGGGCTTTTGGTCATGCATAGTTTATCCTAACTTTATCACGGTAACGGGAGAGACCGCCTGTGTTGGCTTATCCAGAGGAGAAGTAAACTTCTCAGGATGTAAACTTTAGGACAGGAGGTGGTTTTTCAGATCTGAGCAAGGGGCCCACCAAAGTTAGGCTCCTACCCTCACACAGGAGCTGGGAGTCAGGGACTCTATGTCCCAACACGTTTGCATTTCAAAGGCGGTTGCCAGGGCCCGAAGGAATGTTCTGAGTTATGAGACTGGCCACAGGTTATCGTGCCATTATAAAGATAGGCATGTATTTGAAAAGGACACAGAAAGAGATTTTGAGAGAAAGGAAAGGGAGAGGGATTTATGCAACGCAGCCATGGTTTTGTTCCCAGGCCCCTCAGGGTGTGGCTGGGGAGATGTGAACAAGAAATCAGACAAAGGTTTCCCTTTTACTTAAAAAAACACATAGTAGGATATTACTCAGGCTTAAAAAGGACTGAAATTCTGATACATGCTACAACATGGATGAACCTTGAAAACATTATGCTAAGTGAAGAAAGCCACACACAAAAACAAACGATTTTGTTTTTGTTGGATGATTCCATTTATGGGCAGTACCCAGAGTAATCAAACTCACAGGAACACAAAGGAGAACAGTGGGCACCAGGGGCTGGGCAGAGAGGGGAAATGGGAGTTGCTATTTAGTGGATATAGAGTTTCAGTTGGGGATAAAGAAAAGGTCCTGGAGATGGATGGTGGTGATGGGTGCACAAAATTATGAATATATTTAATACCATTGAACAGCACACTTAAAATGGTAAAATGTATATATCGTGAAATACATTTGTATATATGTAAATATATATGTATGTGTGTGTGTGTGTGTGTGTATATAAACCTGACACCTGGGGACATGTATAACCTGGTCAGCACCGCCCAGAATGCCTCTTCCCCATAGGCTCCTTGTACATATAGTCACGGTGATGGAGAGGACCGAAGGAGGGAGAGGCAGAATCCCTCCTTGGCTTCCATGACCATCTGCACATTTTACCACTTGACTTCTACTCTAGATGTTCTCCAAATACTGCATCTGAGTCTGCTGCCTTTTTTTTTTTCTTTAACAGTAACCATCACCAGGAGAAGAAAACATTTGATGTCTAACCTCATAGACGCTGGCATCTGAGAGCTGCTACTTCCTGCCCCCTGTCCATACGCTTGTGGTGGATCCTGACCTACATTTCATTTCCAAGTGGCAGGCACATGGCCGCGGCTCTCACAGTGGCACTCTGCAGCAGCAGTGTTTGGCAGCGTCCCGGGTTTTCTTGAGCTACCTGCCAGCATTGGGTGTACCTTACTCGAAAGAGCGGTTCCTGAAAATTGAGCTGTAAATGGAATTTGGAGTCAGACAAACCATATTTCAAAGGTTATCTGAACAAATCATAGAAAGAAATGTTCTTGGACAGTGAACAAATGGTCCTCAATTTCAGGGCTTCTCAATCTTTCTAGGCCTCAACCCGCAGTAAGAAATACATTTTCCGTCACCCCCAGTGTACGCCTGCAGATCCGCGACTGACCCAAACGGTTCACAGACCAAGGCTCGGCCTCCTGCATGAGACGCGTTCTGAAATGTTTTGCTAATCTTTCCCGTCAAAAAGCTCGTTGCAACCCACTGCAATGGATTTCATGACTCATTAATAGATCTCAGCCCACGGTTTGAAAACACTATACCCATGTAAATATTTTATCAATCCGGATGTTTCTGTTTTGCATGTTGGACCTATGGCTTAACTGCCAAATGTTACATTTTCCGTAGTGGAGAAAAGATAGTCTTTACATTCTGAGAACCAGTGTCTCTTCCGGACTCTGTGGGAGGGGAAAAAAATAAGGAAATTTTGCCTCAGCTTTATATTTCTTCTGCCAGCACTGGGGACAGATAAACTGTTTTCTAAGACCTAAAACTTAACCTCCTATTCTGTGGTAGATCAGAGAAACAGAAGTGTTTTTCCAGCTCTTTTGTCCCGTACAAATTCTAAGTTCTTTTAGTTTCTTAATCTTCTCTGCGGATCACCTCCTCTGTCTTGGTAGCTCCCCAAGAAGAGGAATTCAAATTCAGGAAACGATGAAAAGACTCCAGACCCAGATCCGTGTCCTTTAAATAGTGTTCTCTCCACTCGAGGCCCCACCCCAGCCACACCACCGACAGCAGGAAAGGTCGGAGGAGGTGGGGCAGGGGGCAGGCTGCAGAAGAGAAGGTGAGCTGAGGGAAGGAACAGGGTGGTTACCCAGATACGAGCTGAGTTAACTGGCCTTTCGAGGTGCCAGGAGTTCGCAGACTGTGCGCGGGCAGTGCTGGCCAGCGCCTCGCCTGGGCTGGTGCCCAACGGCAGGCAGCTCCGGGCTCCGGGGCGGTGGGAGGGCTGCGCTTTCCTTTCACTTTCTCGGGCCGCCCAACCTGACACCTGGGGACAGAACTACAGTTCCCACCACGCAGCGAGGCAGCAGGAAGAAGGGGTCCTGAGGACCGACAAGAAAACAAGGAGAACAAGAAGACCTTACCTGCCAGCAGAGGTGAGAGAGGCACACAGGTAAGCGACAGGTGACCCAGGAAGGTGAGGGCTGCGGGATGCAGGATGGAGGGCGTTGCGGGAGGACACTGCTTCCTCTTTGCAAGGCATGTCGGCTGAGTGAAAGGGGCTTATGGGGAAACCCTGAGGACTTCCTGGGGAGGGGAGGTAGATTTCAGGTCAAGTTATGGTGATTTGGCTCCGGAAGTGGAATGGCTTTCTTTATTTGAAAAGTCAGAGGTGGGGAAAAAAGTGGCTTTGTCCTGTCTCTTGTCTGCTGGATCACTGAGCCGTTAGTGGTTTCAGAAGCATCCGAGAGAGGGACTGAGTTTTTACAGACTGGATATTTGCATACATTTTAATTTGTGTAACGACACAGACTTGTCCTTTTGTATGACTTTCAAGAAGGCCGAAGAATCAAACTGGGGGAAATGAAGAAGGGTATCCAATGGCAGGAGCAATCTGCAAACTTAATCACCAAGTGGGGTTAGGTTTCATGTATTTTTATGAGGCATCTGCTCAGGAGACCCAACACGACAGCCCATGAGGAACAGCTGGGGCCCCAGGATGTTTGCCTGAAGTGGCAATGCTTGCTGCTCCAAGTATCTGAGGGGCTGTCATGTGGAATCGGAATCCGCCCGGGCCAGGCACAGCGTGAGGGTCAGCAAACGTAACCCCAGGGAGACAGATTTCCGCCCGTGTAAGTTAGAGTTGTGCATGCAAAATGGACTTTTGCAGGAAGCAGTGCGTTCCTCAGGATCAATGACATTGAAGCAGAGGTAGATAGCTGAGTAGACACGCTGAAGGTATGAACAAAATTTCAGGTGAGTGATCGCATTGATCGACGTTTCCCAAACCTGGCCGGGCGTCAGAATCCACTGAGGAATGTGTGCACGCGTGTGCACATGTGTGTGTGTTTAAATAGCTTTAGCACATCTGGGATGGACTTCAGGAATATGTATTTTTAATTACCTCCCCAAATACTTCTGATATGATCAGTTAGTTTGGGAAACACTGCCACTTAGAAACTTTGTTTTCAGCTTATGCTAAAGTGTGCCATGTGCTCCCTTCTCACAACAGTTTTCTTTTTGAATATTCTCAAAATCCTGATTTCTTGGTCAAGAAAAATTAGGTGCGAAACAGAAGAAAAACGCCGTGTGAAAAACACTCTTCCCCAAACTGACTTCTCTGTCCAATCTTGTGGGTCCTTGTTGCCAGTTGCCTGGACGTTCCGTCTCCCAGTAGTTGGGAGTCCCTCTCCCCGGATCTCATGGGGAGAGGACACAGCGAGGCATGTTCTCCAACCGATGAACAGCAGGGAGAACGCTCTGATGGGCGTCTCCTCCGCCACCCTCCTGCTGAGTGGGCTCTGGATGGAGCATGGGGCACCTGGTCTCAGTGACGAGAATTCCCATCAGTGCGGTCATCTGACTGTTGACTGGGTGGTGGGCCCAGCAGAGAATGGCAGTAGAACCTCTTCATTCTGCGGGTACCCCTAAAGGATTGTTAGCCCACCTGGGGCAGGTGTGAGCTTGGGCGGGCAGGTCCCTCACACCTGCCCAGTAATCATTGTCCTTCTCCCCGAGGACGGTAGTGCTATGAAAGCAATGATCTCCTTCTGTCTTGCCCTGTCCTGGACCCCGGGTGCCTAGAACTAGTGCCCAGAGCCTGGTAGGTGCTCACTAAAGACACGCTGAGCTTCCTCTTTTCTCCCTAGCTCCATCCTCGGCAGCAAGAGCCATGCAGTTCTCCAGCTCAGCCAGGGCAGCAGATGAGAACTTTGACTATCTGTTCAAGATTATCCTCGTCGGGGACTCCAACGTGGGGAAGACGTGTGTGGTGCAGCATTTCAAGTCCGGGGTCTACACGGAGACACAGCAGAACACGATTGGGGTGGACTTTACTGTGCGCTCCCTCGAGATCGACGGCAAGAAAGTGAAGGTCAGAGGGACGTGGGTTTCACTCCTCCTCGTTTAGCCAGAGTCCCTGATGCCAAAACACACACCCGAGGAGTAACAGAATTAAATATGAAACATGAAATCATAAAAGTACCAGGAAAACACATAGGTGTATTTATTTTTATCATCGTGGAATGAGAAAATTGGGCGTTTCGGTAGGATGAGAAATCCAGAAGCCAAAAGGGAAAATATTGCTCAGTTTAACTATCTCAAGGTCAAATTTTTATATTTCTATGTAACTATATAAAGGTCAAATTTCTACATGTTCAAAATGCCACCCCCCAAGTCAAAAGCTGAATGACAAGTTGGAAAGGAATATTTGTAGGTATGGGACTTGACAAAGGGCTAATTTCTTCACTGTGAAACCAGCCCTGAGAAATAGCTACGAAAGGGCTCAACAGCCAACTACAAAATGGAGGCAATTCACAGAATGAACAAAACTGCTGTTTTACACATTTTATAAGAAGTAGCTCATATAGTTATGTAAAGATGTGAAGGTGCCCATGTTCACTCATAATTAAAGGAACAACAGCCCTGGCTGCTGTGGCTCAGTGGCTTGAGTGCTGGCCTGTGAACCAAAGGGTCACTGGTTCGATTCCCAGTCAGGGCACAGGCCTGGGTTGCAGGCCAGCTCCCCAGTGTGGGGGGCATGCAAAAGGCAACCACAAATTGATGTTTCTCTCCCTCTCTTCCTTCCTACCCCCTCTCTAAAATTAAATCAATAAAATCTTTACAAAAAAATTTTAAAATAATTTAAAAAAAGAAACGACAAACTAACACAGAGATTGTGTCTTTTGCCAATTGACTAGAAAAGATCAAAAAGTATTGGTAAAAATGTAATAAATGGATCTTGTTTGAAATCCTGATTAAATAAAAACGAGAGTAAAAAGGCATTCTGGAGACAATCAGGGAAATTTTCATACTCCTGGGTATTACATGATACCAAGGAGTTATCGGTGATTAGCAGTGATAATGGCATGCGGTTATGAAAGAAAAAGTCCATTTTTGTAGGGATGTATATCAGTGTAAATAGGGACAAAATGACATGAAGTCTAGGATTTGCTTTAAAATAATACCTCAAAGAAATCAACAGAATGGGCTTTGTAACAGATGTTGCAAAAATGCTGATAATTATAAATTCTGGGATGAAGGGTATATGAGAGTTGATTATTCTATTAAATCTAGTCTTGTGTATGTTTGCAAACTTTCTCTTTTTTTAAAGATTTTTATTCATTTTTAGAGAAAGGGGAAGGGAAGGAGAAAGACAGGGAGATAAACATCAATGTGTGGTTGCCTCTTATGCACCCCATATTGGGGACCTGGCCCACAACCCAGGCATGTGCCCTGACTGGGAATCGGACCAGAGACCCTTTGGTTCATTGGCCCGCATTCAGTGCACTGAGCTACACCAGCTGGGGCTGCAAACTTTCTTTAAAAAATTAATTTTGTAAATGACGTAAGTATGTGAAGAACCAGGTACACTCAGACACTGTTGGAGGGTGTAAAAATTGGTACCATTGCTCAGGATGCAATGAAAAAAGTAGATTTGTGGGCCCCAGCTTGGGTTCTGGATTGAGATATCTAGATATCCAGAAGTGAGCCCCAGGAAGCTGTATTTTGCAGATGACTTAAGCGAGCAAGCTCCCTTCCGTTGTGGGAACTCCTGATGCCACCCCCATTCCCACCCGTCTCCAGATGCAGGTGTGGGACACCGCAGGCCAGGAGCGCTTCCGGACCATCACCCAGAGCTACTACCGCAGTGCCCATGCAGCCATCATCGCCTACGACCTCACCCGGCGGTCCACCTTCGAGTCCGTTCCTCACTGGATTCACGAGATAGAAAAATACGGAGCTGCGAACTTGGTCATTATGCTGATCGGTATGGTTATGGTGTTTTCAAGGGGTTTAACTTTGCTTTCCTGGTGCCTTCTGCTGACACTCAGCTTTCTGTGTTTCTGGTGGCAGGGGAACAGGAAATCTAAACGTGCAAGTGGTGGGCAGGACCTCAGAAAGCGTCTGGCCCAGAAATTCCCATCAGATTCACTTTAAAATGAGAGGGGGGTGGTGTGAACTTCCTAGGAATACAGATCTCAAGGCCCCACCCTAGAGTTTCTGGTCTGGAGACCTGAGCTGGGGCCCAGACTTCCCTGCGCAGGGCGCCCCGGCTGATTAGCTGCGCACGTCTGTGTGGACCACACAGGAAGTCCTCTGCGGGCTCAGGTTCGCAGAGTCAGCTGCCTCCAAATCCCTGGGGGAGCCACTCAGATGAATGTGACCCACATGCCCTTGAATCACTAAACGCTTAGTAGGTTCCAGGCACTCTTCTGACTGGGCTCCCGAGTCAGATCACTTAATCTACCCAACCCCCCTAAGAAGCAGAGACGGCTGTCCTAACGTCCAAGATGAGGAAACCGGGGCATCTGTAGGTTTAAGTACCTTGCCAAATAGTTCAGCCTGGTTCCTTACTGACAGGTGAGGCGGGATTTGAACCAGGCTGTCTGATTCCCAGAATGCCCACTGGGTTCACTTCCTCTCTGACCATTTTCCAATAGTTGGTTAGGCGGGACCGTTACCCAGGGCCCCCTGAAGCTCTCTGGTTTGGGAAGTTTCTGTGTCTACTCTAGTGCCTAGACTTCAGGGTCAGACAGATTGGAGTTCAAATCTCCCTCTCTGTCTGAATCTGGGGATTATAACTTACTCTCTAAAGTTCTGCTTCTTCATCTGTAAAACTGGCGCCCACTTCCAAAATATCGTTGAGTTGAAAGGATTACATAAGGAGACATACAGGGTCTGTCCAGAAAAAGTCCAGCCATTGTTAATATAACAAGAATAGTTTGCTGAACCTCGATGTAACCTGGCAGCCAAGGAGAGAGGACTGGAATGCGCATGTGTGAACAATGACGACTTTACTGTACTAGTCAGTGGGGGCCGTAGACTCCTTTGAGTGAGCGTGTGTGCTGTGTGGCCGTCTCATTCAAAATGACTGAGCAGATAGAGCAACCAATCTGCATCAGATTTTGCGTTAAGCTTGAACGTTCCATTGTGGAAACTATTCAGATGATTCAGAAGGCTTTTGGGGACAATGCAATGAGTGCAGGGCAAATAAAAGTGTGGCACAAATGCTTCAAAGACGGTCAAGAATCTGTTGAAGGTGATCCACGTTCTGGAAAGCCTGCAACAAGCAGAGCACCTGAGAATGTTAAACGTGTACGGGCTGCAATCAACAAAGATCGGCGACTGACATTGTGAGAACTAGAAGCTGATTTGGGGATTCCAAAAACTACTGTGTCTGAGATTTTGACACAGGATCTAGGCATGAAATGTGTCATGGCAAAATTCGTTCCACAGCTTCTGCTACCAGAGCAGAAGGAACATCGTGCTGCAGTTGCTAATGACTTGACTCACACTGTACCAATGAACCAGATTTCCTCAAGAAGGTCATAACCAGAGATGAATCGTGTGTCTGTGGCTACATATATGACCCGGAAATGAGGGCCCAGTTGTCCCACTGGAAGTCGCCTGGTTCTCCACGCCCAAAGAAGGCACGGCGAAGTCGCAGCAAGAGCAAGACCGTGTTAATTGTGTTTTTTGATTGGGAAGGTGTTGTCCACTCCAGGCCAAACAATTACTAAGAAGCACCGCCTCAGTGTTCTCTGTTGGTTGAGAGATGCAACGTGACAAAAACGGCCGCAGCTATGGGCAACCAGTGATTGGCAGCTTCATCATGACAATGCACCTGCTCATGCGTCATGTCTCATGCAGAGTTTTTGCTGAAATATCAAATCACCTAGGGGACTCACCCCCTCTATAGCCCAGATCTGGTGCTCTGCAACTTCTGGCTTTTCCCAAAACTTAAACCACCTTCGAAAAGGAAGAGATTTCAGACTGTCAATAAGATTCAGGAAAGTAGCCCTGGCTGGCGTAGCTCAGTGGATTGAGCGCAGGCTGCGAACCAAAGTGTCGCAGGTTTGATTCCCAGCCAGGGTACATGCCTTGGTTGCAGGCCATGACCCCCAGCAACCGCACATTGATGTTTCTCTCTCTCTCTCTTTCTCCCTCCCTTCTCGCTCTAAAAATAAATGAATAAAATCTTTAAACATTTAAAAAAAAATTCAGGAAAGTACAACACGGCAGCTGATGGTGAATGGGAGAATTGTGTGAGGTCCCAAGGTGCCTACTTTGAAGAGGACTAAGGTGTCATTGTCCTATGTGCAATGTTTCTTGTATCTTCTTCAATAAATGTCTCTATTTTTCAAGTCACATGGCTGGATACCGTCGGGACAGACCTCGTATGTAAAGCACTCAGCACAGTGCTAAGAGCGCAGTAAAGAGAAGCAGCCGTTGTTTGCTGGTAGAGCAAAGATGAGCAGAGAGGGTGGGACAGCCGTGACCTTCAGGGGCGGAAGGAAACCCCACTAACGGTGGCTCCCAGAGAAGGGAAGCTCAGGTGTGAATTACGTGCACCTCAGTGCTGACCACACTTGAGGTTTCCCCAGGAACCCGACTGGGTCTCTCTTCCATTGAGTTCACGTGCTTCGCATGAATCACTGAAGCAGGTCTTCCCCTGGGCCTCCAAGCCCGCAGCCCCCTAACCCAGCTCCCCGCCAGCAGCGCGGTCCTTAGCTTCTCCCTGCTCCGCTGCAGAAACAGGTGAGGCAGGCCAGGGCAATCAAGGCCAAGACGGCAGGGTGTCCAGGAATCTCAGTTTCCTGCGTATTTACACCCTAGTCTGTCTTTTGTAACCACCATGTCTGCCGCAATATATTTTTTTTACTTATTTATTTTTAGAGAGAGGGAAAAGGAGGGAGAGAAAAATGTGCGAGAGAAACAAGGGTCGGTCGCCTCTCACACGCCCCCTACTGGGGACCTGGCCTGCAGCCCAGGCATGTGCTGTGACCGGGAGTAGAACTGATTTGGTCCTCAGGCCGGCGCTCGCCCCGCGGAGCCAGGGCTCTGCCCCAGTTCTTACTTGGTTCTAGAAACGCCCCCTAAGATGGTCTGGACGTGTCCCCAGTGCCCCTGTCATCCGAGGGCCGGCGCAGTGGGCCTCCCGTTTTCTGTCGAGAGCCTCCTTATGCCGCCATCTAGGAAAGCCGGACGCGTTGTTTGCTCCTCAGGGCAGTGCCCTGACACGATCACTGTATTTCCGTCCCTTCTCCACGTCTCTCCACACGAATGTCTCCTTCTCTCCCACTGTACCCCAGCCCCCGGCAGCCACTTCCCGCACCCCGCAAATGGCAGAGACGGCTGCGCATTGATTTGCGCGGCTCCTCCTTCCCCGGCCACTCCCAGGCAGCTGCGCTCCTCGGCATCCTCCCTCTGCTTAAAGCCCCCGCTGGTCCCCGCGGCCCCCCAGACGGCACACAGAGTCCTGGCCGCGAGCGACAGTCCGGCTTTTCCTCTGGGGGGTGGCTGCAGGCCCCTCCCCGTCTCCCCCCAGCTCAGCTCTGTCCCTGGCCTCCCAGCCCCTCCGCCCTCCACCGGAGCCCGGGTTCAGGAGCCAGCTTCCTCCGGTAGGTTATGCTGGAAGTTCTGTCCCCTGTCTTCAGCATCTGACTCTTGTCCCCTTGGGCTCTCAGGCCACCCTTTCGCTTAAGCTTTTCCGTATTTACAGGTCCGCCATCCCTCAGGGGAAAACCCTGAAGGCTGAAGGTTTCAGGGTCCAGACTCGGTCGCATCTCAGGAGGGTGCATTTTGCGTTATCTGACGCCCTCAGCAGGGTCGGGCGAGCGTCCCATGGTCAAAGGCATTGACACTTACGCAGTGAACTGTATGAATAGGCATGCAAAGCAGGTTGAATAACATCTTCAAATGGCTCATTTAGGGCAGATTTTACTGTCAGATAAATTACCAAAAAATGTAGGGGTTTCGGAGTTTTTTGGATTTGGGAAACGTGGGTAAGGGCTGGTCTGCCTGCACAGCTCAGGACTTGTACCCTTCACCTGGTCTTAGGACATGTGGTCTCATGGCCTGTCTTGGGTGTGAATTCTTGTACACTCTTCAGTTGTCTGTGCGTCTGTCCTGCCTCCCTAACAAGATGAAGAACTCCTTCCTCAGGGGCAGAGCCCATGCATTGCTGGGTGCCCTGCACAACACTTAGCAGGCAAGGACTCAGACAGCTGGAGCGAGCACCGGTTTCCTCCTCTCCCACGGGGTGTCCTGGCTCGTCCTTAGGAATGCAGCCACCAGCTATGGGGAGGCAGGACAGGGGACAGTCAGTGCTGTTAACCTGGCTGTGGCACGGGGGCAGGCGAGAGGAGCTGCTGATAAAAGTCAGAGCCAGCCCTGGCTGGTGTTGCTCAGTGGATGGGGCGCCGGCCCACAAACCAAAGGGTTGCCAGTTTGATTCCCAGTCAGGGCACATGCCTGGGTTGCCAGCCAGGTCCCCAGTTGGGGACATGTGAGAGGCAGCCAATTGATGTTTCTCTTGCACATCGATGTTTCCCTCCCTCCCTCCCTCCTTCCCTTCCTCCCTCTCTAAATATAAATAAATAAAATATTTAAAAAATAAAAAAATAAAATAACTAACAAAATAAGTCTTTCATTATTTATTCCACAGCTTCAACTTCAAGAAGTGTAGATCACAAGTCTCAGCTAGCCCAGTTCTGTCTCACAGCGGGCAACACGGCGTAGTTTGGAGCGGGTGGGGGCACAATCTGAAGGGAGGAGAGAGCCCGAGAGAATCCCTCTGGCACCGTCTTCCCGTGTCACACTTGGAAGGAGTGGAGGTCCCTCCCAAGCACACGGAGGCGGCACCTGTCCCAGCCAAGAAAACACACACACCTCCAGCCCCTTCCTCGCAGCTCTTAAAGATCTTAGGAACAGTGAATTAGAACCGTGGTTCTCTTTCTACTCATCTGTGGTTTCATTTTCAGTACGTTTGCCCTGAAATTACTATTTGTGAATGAATCCATGCGTGCCTATTTGCTGAACTAACATGTGCTTTTTAAAGTCCATTTTTTAAAGAAATCGGGTTAAGTTACTCAGCACAATATTTGCTTGTCTCTCACCCCCAGGGAACAAGTGCGACCTGTGGGAGAAACGGCACGTCCTGTTCGAGGACGCCTGCACGCTGGCTGAGAAGTACGGCCTCCTCGCTGTCTTGGAGACGTCAGCCAAGGAGTCCAAGAACATAGACGAAGTCTTCGTGCTCATGGCCAGGGAGCTGATCGCCCGGAACAGCCTGCACCTGTATGGGGACAGCACCCTCAGCGCCCTGCCCCTGGACTCCAGTGCGGTGCTGGTGACCCAGGGGCCAAGTGAAAAGACCCACTGCTCTTGCTGAGCAAGTTCACGAGGCCGAGAGCACCCACGTGAGGCCACCTCCAGAACCAAAGGCAGCCAGATCGCTTAGTTCGCTGAGTAGCATTTCAGGCCCTGGTGTAGACTCGCAGCCGGTCCTCTCCTCAGTTCGGACCAGAGGCCACGACGGTTGGCTCTGAGGGCAGGGGACACCCCCGTCCTTCTTGATTCGCCTTGGACTTAAAGGCACAGGGGTAGGAGGACAAGGTTTTCTCTTTTTCACCTTTTCCTTTTTTGCCTCCCCAACCCTTCAGCGGTGCTTCTACTGAATTTTGATTCTCGCTGGAAGAAGAGGGTAGTGAAGGAAAAAGAAGTACTAGGGTGGGGGGACCCCTGAGAACCCGGAATCTATCTATAAAAAATTGTGTATTTATTCTCACATGCTTAAACTTCAGTCACCTCCAAAAAGCACTCTCCATTTGATGCAGTACACTTATTGAGACTTCTTTCCACTGCTCCAAACAGTTTTGAACTCTTGGATTTTGATGCCTTTTAGCACTTCTGCCTTTTTTTTTTGTTTCACCTCTTCCACATCAGCAAAATGTTTCCCTTTGAGGACTTTTTTTCATCCGAGGAAACAACCAAAAAAAGAGTGTGGCTCAGGGTGAGAGAGGGTGGACAGGGAAGGTGGGGCACGGGGTCCATGCCTTTTTTGGTCAAAAACTGCTGAACACTCAGCGCGGTGTGGGCAGGTGAGCTTGTAAATCATCCGTCATGAAATGGGCAAATGCACAGAGAGTCTTCAAAAAAAATTTCACCAAAGCCGAACACAGCCTCTCACAACAACGCCAGCTAGTGCACTGATACGGATGGTTTTCTAGAACACTCGCCCAGCGGGGGAAGCCTGTACTGGAAGAGCCCACCCTCCAGAAGATAATCCCAGGTTTTGGGGGATCTCCCCATATCAAGGTAGGGGAGAGGATGTTTTGAACATTCTGGAACAGTTTAAAACAGCTCGGGCATGAGAGGATGGGAAAAAGCCTGCAATGATAAACCAGAAGGCTGTTAACACTGGCTTCCTGACAGTCACACCTGAGGGCTTTAGGGTGGGGAGCAAAGCCTTTTGTCACAAAGACCATACAGACCCCTCGCCACATGGTCAGGTGCCATATGATGGAGATAGAGTTGGATTTCACTCTATTCTAGTTGGACTGATTTGACCACCCTCGTAGAATGTGGAAGATATCTACTGTTCCTTTCTAAATGACCACATTAGCCGCTGGATAGAAGGCATTCCTGAACTGGAATTAAACGGGCTCATGGATGAACAGCAAACCGATGCTGGCCTCGCAGGTGGCCCTGGTCGCACCACGTGGCCCCAGAACCTGTGACTGGGGCTCCACCGTTCCCCAAAGTTCCCTGCTGCTTGTTGCTGAGGCGCGTCTGGCAGTCACAGGGAGGGCCACAGGGGCCGGGCCGGCAGCAACACAACAACACGGCTCCACTCCTTGGGCCGCGTGAGTGCCCCAGGTGTTGCTAGCCTGTCGCTCTCGATAGGCCGAGACCTGCACGAGACAAATAGTCACTCGTTATGTGTGTGGCTGCTGAGTACTCGAAGACAGAGGCTGAGCGGGCCCTGACGTTAAGGGCTCCCTCCCATTTCCCTTCATTTCTCTGCATATCTGTCTTGTCCAGCACTCCGAAAAACCCAGCAGCTTCTAGGCTTACGCGCTCTGGGGTTCATCTGGAAGGAAAATATTCCCACCAACAGGTCAGACGTGGGAGAACAAGGTCACCTGAACAGCAGGAACCTGTGATTAACCGGCTGTGACGGAAACCCTGGGGAGGGCCCCCGGGCTGGAGCGGCTTCTTTGGATCAGGGCGCCCAGAGGTCTGTGGCCGAGGGAGGCGCAGGCGTCTGGGCAGCCAGAGCAGCCTGGGGCCTGGCGTGGGCGGCTGCCTCGGGCAGGTCCTCTGTGTGCCCACGGTCTCAGAAGGCGGCGTGGTAACCGAATCCTGGCGTTTTTCTCACACTCCCCAAATGGCACAGTTGGAAACAAGTTATATGAAATGAAGTTACAAAAGGAACACGTTGGAAGAATAAAAAGATGGTCAATGTCTTCATATTTGGTTCGCCGGTGTCAAGTACATTTTCATGTGTGCAAAAATCTTTCAGTTAATACTTCACTGTTCGTAGATGGTTTCTGAATCTCTCCCCCACCCCATCATGGGAAAGGCCCATTTACTAGCAATGGGAACATTATTATGATAGTACTGACAACCACCCACTCACACAGCAGTTACTACATGCTCTGAGCTGGACTGAACGCTTTATACCAACCCAAAGGGCCCTGTCAGCATCTCTGAAGTAGGCACCGTTTATGATTCCTACTTTTAAAATGAGGACGGGACACAGAGATTGCCTGTTTCGATTTGAGTTCCTTCTATCAACCCCTCGTGTAACCAATAAATTCAATTAAAAAGTAAAAAAATACCCCCAGATGATATATTCATCATTCTGTACACACGCAAAAAGGGAAATACACCCATTCCGAGACACGATCTCATACATCCGTTTCCATGTCATACAAGCAGCTGAAGGGGGAAGACCCAGTGGGCGGTGGGTCAGGCTGGTCCTGCCTCCCTGCAGGGGGACATGGAGGGGCTGGGCTGGAAACGTGGCAGACCCAGCCCAAGTTCACTTCCCTCCCAACAGGGACGATGTGGAAACTACAGTTCACTCATGTGCAGTTATACGGGTGACCAAGGCAAGCCAGGCAGAGTCCTATCAGCCATGCCAGCACCCCCCACCCCATCAGGGGGAGGGGTTGAGAGGATGGGGCGGAGCTCAGCAGGCACACGGAAATGCTCCCTGCAGGTAGTTTGCAAACCTCCAGGTGATGGAGAGGAGCTTCTGAGGCCTCATGCTGTCTGTAGCTGCTCAAGAGCCTGTGATGAATTATTGAGTGACCACGCAGAGGCTCACAGGATTCCCCTGGCCAGTTTACCATTCAGAATATTGCCAGTTGCTCGGGGACTTCTGACATCATATATTTTCTTTTGTGTTTATTCTTAACGACACGTTCACTTATACCCAAAAGTAATTGGTAAGGACAGAAGCACCAAGAATGTCAAAATGAGAGGCCCAAGTTAATAAGGAGCACTGAGTAGGTGATAATTCTGCAAAATCATCCAAAGATCCCTCCTCACCTGACATAATAAATTGCATTATCATTAATTATATAAAGTGCTGTGCAACTACCAAAAAACTGTATTTCTTTTTTTAAAAAGATTTTATTTGTTTATTTTTAGAGAGAAGAGAAGGGAGAGAGGGAGAGAAACATGAACCTGTGGCTGCCTCCCACGTGCCCCCTACCGGGGACCTGGCCCACAACCCAGGCATGTGCCCTGACTGGGAGTCAAACCAGTGACCCTTCAGTTCACGGGCCCGAGCTCAATCCACTAAGCCACAACAACCAGGGCCAAAACTGCATTTTTTTACATTCAGATATACTGAATTTCCCACTTAAAATGAGGCCCACTGTTTATTTCTGTTAGAGCATTGCTGAATTTTTTTTTTGTATTTTAAATATTTTATTTTTATTCTATTACGGTTGTCCCAACTTTTGTCCATTGCATTGCTGAATTTTAAAATAACCAATATCTAAAGTTGGAAATAGACAATAAAACTAGTTTAATGTTTTTACCAATTCATAAATTTTATTTTTGCGGTTGGAATTTTGTTTCTAAATTAGATGAGGCTTCAGGCTGCTACTTGCAAATCACTGTCTAAAGATGAACACATTAACTCGGGGTGGTGAACACACAGTACAGTGTGCAGATGTAGTGCAGAACTGTGCACCTAAAACCCTGTCATTTTAGTAGCCAATGTCATCCCAATAAACTCAATAAAAAAATAAAATTAACACACTGAATGGATAATTTTTACTTCCAATAAGTGAAAATAACATCACTCTGGACTCTTAAATGTTGGTCTTTCAAGTTCTCAAGTCATCTTGATACACTACGTAAGAATAAGTAAATGCAGCCTTGGCTGGTGTGGCTTAGTGGATTGAGTGTGGACCTGCAATCCAAAGGGTTATCGGTTCGATTCCCAGTCAGGGCACGTACCTGGGTTGCAGGCCAGGTTCCCAGTAGCGGGTGTATGAGAGACAACCACACAAAGTTTAAAAAAAAAAAAAATGCAAGTAATAATGGGCTGTAAGGAATTTCATTAATGTAAGGGAGGAGAGAGGAGACACAACTGCAGAAGAAACAAGAATGAGGACGTTGTTGACTGACATCACTCGAGGCGTGGCCTGCACTGTTCCTGGCGCGTGGCTAAGGAACTAAGGAAGCACAGGAGCTGAGAGCACCTAGAAACTTCCATATCAACTTGGCATTGGTGCAACCTCCAACCTTATGTTGCTCAAACCCAGTAACAACCTTGGGATTGTACTAAGAAGGATGCTGCTCGTTTCGTGTTTCTAACAATTCAGTCTTATCGTCTTTCACAAGACTACTGGCCCATGGTGGATTGGAAATAAAAGGCCTCCACCACAAACAGTTTGAGAAACACTGGTGTAAAATTAACAGTAAAGATTGGGGAATATAGCGGTTAATTCTGCCAGTTGCTGTGCAAAGCCAAGGAAATGAAGTTTCTTGCAATTCCTGGACTTGGCAGGAACGACACGGCTGACCTTCGGACGTGCACTTAAGAAAGACGAGGAGGCGGCCCACAGCACAAGGTCTGCCGCCCCCGTCCTCCGCCCCCGAGGACGGCATCTGCCAGAAGGGCCTAGGTTGAGGCCCGCGCCCCAGCTGATCAACCGTGAAACCACAGGCAAATGATTCAGGTTTCGGTTTCCTCCCTTGTGAATCAGAGACACCCCTTACCTAAACTGCTCTAAGGATGAAATGAGGACTAAATGAAGTGCCGAGTACAGATTTCTGAAATCTTAGTCAAGCCCCTCCTACCCTGTAACTGCTGATTCAGCATGTGGCTCCCAACACCTCCCGGGCAGGAGGGACAAGGGTCTGAAGAACTCTGGGTCACAGAGGGGACCAGATCATCTCTCTGTGGTGCTTTGATGAGCAGTTTCTACTGCATCTGTGCTCCCCGTGTCTCCAATCCCGGCAGAGTGCCCAGCAGGCACCCAAGTATTTGTGAGACGAAGGGTTGCCTTCATCTTACTAAGAATGTCATCCGTTGCCAGTAGAAAGGCAAGGGCAGGGCAAGGAAGTGAGCTAGTGTACCTGCATCTATATAAAAGCAAAATAAAACCTTTTAAAGAGGGCAGATTTATCATCAGAAATGAGTCTCCCCTTAAACAATTCTGCTAATTCATAGTTTTACATTTTAGATTATGTGCATTGTTAACAAAGACTAAGGAGGAGGTACAACCTTGTGCAAGCCAATTTTTTAAGTATTTACAAAGGGGAATAAGTTCTGATTAAGAGTAAACTAAACCCATCAGCTGAATGTAAAAATACCCTTACTTGTCCAGCACCGCGTGGTACCTCTCTCTTCTATGCACTGGGACCCGCAGCAGAGGAAGTACAGTTTGGGGAAGTGAGTTGAGACCTTGGGTCTTTTCTAGTATCTGTGATCCAATACAGAGAAATAAGCACCTTGCTAAAATAACTTACTACAGGGCACTTCTTCTATCGAAAACCTAAGGCTGCTTATGGACACTCGCCATGGAAGAGAGGAGAGCGAGGTAAGTCATGGACTGGCTCTTAAAACCTTCACCAGGAAATAATACCAGTTCTCCTCCCGTTTCATGGGCCTAAGCAAGTTCCGTGGGCTTTGCGGCTGCATTCTGTGCGGCGAGAGAGCAGACTCGGAAATCCCGTGAGCAGCACTATTAACAATGACCACAGACTCCCCAGATCATTCCCGTCCCCCCCCCCCACCCAAAACGTTGGCAGTTACTTGCTTCACCTCTCCACACTCTGCCAACCTTTTAAAAACAAGAACCTGCATGTCCATAGGAATTAGGCAGAGGTTAAGTATTACTTACAGTGCGTGGTAGCAGGAAGGGGGGGACCGATGGTAGTTTTGAGCCAATGAGAAAGTGTGAAGTGTCTCCCATCACTGTTGGTGCCCCGGTCCCTTCTTGCAATCGGCAGCCACAATGAAGAGCTCACTGTCACTGCTTAATGGTGACAGGGTGGCGTTGCAAACTGGCCAAAACCTGCACTTCCGCTGCCTTTTCTAAGACATGAAGAAAGGAAGCTTCTCCAAACACAAACCTACCCCCAGGCATGCCTAGCCCAGTCTCCCCACCAGCAACTGGGACGCCCACCAGGTGGCTCCTGATTGCTGAGTCCCCTGCTCCTTTCTGGACACCAAATCATGAAAAGTGGAAGTCTCTCCCCCCACTCAGGTCCCCAACACTTCTACCACGCCTCTGAGGCTCTCCGGCATCGCTGGGGGCACACATGGTCCTCAGCATGACCCATCAATAGCAGCCTAAGGCAGACGCGTGACATTTCTGGAAGGGAGCAGCTGGTCCGTGAGCCTGCAGGAAGCCTACTCAGGGGACCTACGGCGAGTCACCATGACTACCAGTCATCATGCAGAAACACTGTCAACAGCATAAATTCTTACGTACGTGTATTCAAGTTAACAAGCAGTATTTTAATAAAAAGTACTGCAGAAAGGTCACTGAGGGTCTTCCACAGAAGTGCAAAAAGGGTTTTATTTTATGCATGAAAACTTCATGTAAACAGAATTGGGGAGAGAAATATCCTTTCAATACAGCACGGGACCTACCTGTTCCTGGCAGGTATGAGGCAGGTGCAAGTGCAAGCGTGTGCAGCGCCATGCAGCGCCTGCGGCAGCCTAGGCGTTAGTCTTGCAAATTCTAAAACACAGAGTAGTCTGATGACCCCCGCTGGTGAGGCCTCCTCTTCCTCTCGCACTCGTTCTCAGCAGGCTAGACGCCTCAGGAAAGGTGTCACTTTTCTCAATGAAACTATATCCACAGAAATTTGACTCACCGATGAACTGATCAGAGAGTCATTGAGAGAAAGAAACAGAAGGCACATTGCAAACAGCTCATTACGTTAAGATAGAAAGAAAGACAACTTATGGGTTTTTTAAATGGTTTTATTTGGGAAAAGTGCTTCTTACAAAAGGGCAGCTGTAAAATTCAGAGACAACTGTTAACAATGACTTGTCTTCTCTTAAAGTAAAAGAGTGGGTGGGACCCAAGGAACCGGAGCAGTAGCTGGGACAGCTCAGGAGCACCTCCAGGTGATGTCCAGGGCACAGAGCAACCCGAGGCAAGCTAAATTTTCCAATCAAGGAATTGTAACGATTCAGCTCGTCTCATGGGTTACC